AAGGCTTGACCACATGTATTTATTACATTATTGTCGCGACAGCAAAATGATTTGCTGAAAATTGAGATTTGATTGTGGTGGTAGCTATTTTTTAGCTATCGCGATTTCAGTGATGGAAAGTTTTCATTTAAGATTTCTTTTTATTTATGTGGTCGCCTTATTTCAATTTATTGATATATACACTTGTAAGCTACGATTATTTTTCGATTATTTGTCGATTACTTATCGATTATTTCCAATTAATTCTTTTCTTTTGTGATTCTCCCCTTAGGTAAATACTAATATTACCCGTGAAACGGTCAAATTGGTTCTGGACACTGGATGTCCATTCTCTATGATATCAAAATCTGCACTTAAAAGAGGAATAAAGGGAGGAAGAGATGTCATGGCGATCTCCGGTTTTGGTGGTACTGGAAAATCTGTTAATACACATGGTTCAACATCATTCTCGATAACAACGGTCAATGGCAAAGTACTCGATACAACAGTGCATATTGTAGATAAATCGTGCATTCCGCATGATGGCGCACATGGTTACTTAGGACTTGATTTTATGCGCAAATATGAAATGATGATGGTATTCCATACTGATACATTAGTATATCACTTTTGATGTAATGAAGACACTGGCATTTCGCAAGGCAGGATTTCTATATGCATTTTTAAAATTCGTTATGAAAGGAAAATAAAACTGTTTGGATGTGTGTAATTAAAATATTATTTATTTATTTATTTTTTGGGTGATTCAAATATCTCTGTCTTTTCTTATTGCTGCTTCCCAACCTTATATTGTATTTAATTTTGGTCAAAAATTTGCTCATTGTCAAATTATTGAAAAAAATATATACCAAAGGAAAATTGTAGAAAAATGCATTACAACAAATTAACTATTTGTAAAAAGCTTAATATTGAAGTATTATTGGGAGAAAAATAAGGACAATTTTTTCGCTGCAACGATTCAAATGAATTACCATATCATATGATTCAAATAAAAATCGTGTACTTAGAAATTGACAGAGCGCCATTTTGAAATAAAACTTTATATTGAATTCAAATTAAATGCACATAAGAGAAGTTATCTCAAATCAATATTCCTGTACAATATGTAATAACCGGACTATTATCTTTGCTATTATAAACTGTTTCAGTCCGCTAATTTCTGAAAGAACTATTTCTTGAGTAGCGTAACCACATCCCAATGGAAGGATGTGAAGACTTCAAGTCTCTTTGAGCCAACGGTGGCGCCCCGAATTTCAAAGGGGACCTCAATGTAATTTAACAACTCAAATCGAAACTAAACAGCGCGCCAATTTTAAAACTTGGTGTCATTTCCTCCCATTGCCACATCCATGTGGAATTGAAAAGTAGTAATGGTCATATTCACATTTTTATTGTTGGAACAACTCGCGTCATAGAAAACATAGGTCCTTTTTTCAATTTTTTTTACCTTACCTTGGTCTTATTTGCGCTAAAAAATGTAAATCTTCATTAAAAAAGAAAAAATGACTGCTCAGTTTCGATTTAAACACATTTATTCATTTTTCAAAATCTTTTTTTTTAGTTTCAATTCGTTTTTTAATCTTATATCCTATTTATCATTTTTATTCGTTAACTGTTTCACAATGTCCACATTACTAGCTACTTGATCTGAATTTTCATGATCAACATAGATAAAAAATTATTTAATTAAATGTTAAATATTTTCAAGCAGGAGAAGGAAGAAAAAAGAAATCGGTTAGTACTAAAATTCCTGGCAAAAAACATAAATAGACATTAATTTAGTTAATTTATCTATTCGAATCTGTCGCCGACACAGGTTTTGATGCAATAAAGTCTCTCTAAATACTGTCATTTCAAAGGTGGAAATCATTTGAATTTTATTTGGAGAGATTTTATCGCATCTAATGGTAATTATGGTAGCGAACTAATTTGTGGGAAACTTTGGTTAAGAGAATGCGATCAAAAAGCCATTGAGTTGTAATCGTTGATTTACTTTCAAATCGATTCGTAATTAAGACTTAACGTTCAACTGTCGTCGCGCCTAATGAACGAAGAAAAGTTACATACTCATGTTGTAATTTGTGCTCGATATCTTTTCGTTCGTATTCAACGAATTACTAGTTTTAATGTTAAAGATTTTCCGAAAAAGAGAAATTAGCATTTGTACACTCCAGAAAACATAAATCCTAAGGTTAGATGGATATAACTTTTTTTAATTTCTTTCATATTCGTATTTATAAATTTCAGTGAAATTATTTACCTTCTCGAATGTGACAAAAAGCACGAAAATTGCACAATATCTATCATTTACAATTGAAAAAATCTTATCATTCTATATATATTGTCTCGTTCTGTATTGATCTCAAATCAAATGGATTGGAGTAACCAATTCAAAGCCATTTTATCAATCGATTTCATTTGAGATGCATTTCGTCTCATTTAGAGCGACTGAATTTATTTCATGAGTTATAGATAAGTTTTTGTTTTGAGAATAAAATGAAATATTTTATGTATTTTCAACGTCGTTCAGATCCAATCAAAAGATATGAAAATGAATGCATGTGAACAAGGTGGAAAATATAGTTGATTGAGATCTAACTCGTGAAATGAACAAAAAAAAAAATCGCACGAAAAATTTGCTTTATACTACAATAGGTTGGCGCATAAAACAATGAAAAAAAGAATCGTGTATTTGATGATGAAATGATATTGTTGACGTTTTAAATAAAAATGCATTGTTGTTAAGACTCAAAATGGAATGGTGTTAGTTCAATTGTGTTGGTTAAATAGCACAACAATATTATGCGGTTGAATTCAGCAAAGCAGTATGAGAAGAAAATTTAATAAACGACTAGTTGCTCCAGTTTATCGTAAAACTAATGTATAAAATGTTCGATATTCAGTTCCGAAACGTGTTTCATATATTCGCGTTTGACATTAGTATTCCCTCATTTCGAGAGAGTTTGACAAACGTGATCGATTCTATAAATATAATTTTAAAGCTTATACACATGAAAATTGTATAGATTTTTGTTGAAATTTTGAAAATGAAATTCGCATGGTCATTTCTATCGAATATTTGAAAATAAATTCAAAACACTTTTGTTTTCTTTTTGACTACGCGCTTTACTGAACACATTCCAAAATCGTAGCGTCTCATCGCCGGCACCGGTAACGATTGCTTCACCATCTGGACTCAATGCCAAATACAGAACACGATACGAATGTCCGGTGAGTTTGGCAACTTGTGTCAACGATGGATACTTCCATACGAGAATTTGGTTTTGTGAATAACCGTGCGTCGACACCAGTTCCGATGAATGCTTCGACCACGCCAAATTACACACTTGTGATCCCGTATCCACACTTTGTAATGGTTGGGCTGTTAGCGTATTCCAAAATCTGATACATCGATCAGCTGTACCACCCCCGCTAGCCAATAACCCATGATGATGCGGTGACCATGCTATCGCTTTCACGGCAGCCATATGCTCCGAATATGATTGAACTGGATTCAGCGAATGTAAATTCCATACGTATAAACGATTATCGTTGCCACCAGATGCAAGATATTGATGGTCGGGTGACCATTTTAAACCGCACACCTCTTGACGATGGCCAGTTAACCGTCGTTCGGATACCAAGGCAGGCGTTCTTGTATCTCGTTGCATGATCAATCGATCACGAGACCCGCTCGACAAAATATCACCATTATATGCTAAGGCTCCTACACGTGCCGAATGGCCATTCAACTTGTTTATCTATTTGGGTTAGAAAAGAAAATAATTAGAAGATCTGGTTGATTCACATGAAACACCAATGTTTTATAGGCTGAACATTTTAAATTCGGTCAAATGCTATTCACATTGAAAAACTACTGCATGTTTTTTGTGTAAAAATTAGATATTGGATGAGTAAATGAAATGCTCGCGTAATTGTTACAAAGATTCATAATTCAGAGCTTCAATGGCATTGTTGCCTACTTTCAATGATTGAAAATGTAAATATTAACCGATTCAAACGGTAATAATCAATTCTCAAATACATGCTGTAGACGGCTAATTTGATTAGCACATACAAGAATGGCATATTTTGACCGTGATCACGCCTATCTAATTTGGTGTTAGTTTCGTGCAAAAATCTGTAAATATTTGTAAAATTGCTAACCATTTTATTCGCAGAAACGTCCCAAACTCCGACATAACCATGATGGGTACCCACTGCAACTTGATTGCCTCGTTCATTCCACGACACCGACGTCACTGAATTCCCATCTGAGCTCAAATCACATAGTCGAGTCACCTAAACAAGTAGAGACACACATTTTTTTATAAGTCTATTTACTTTTTTCCAATTTTAGAATATTTCCACCGGAAATTTCATCAATATTTAATGAGAACCGTTGTAATGCAAAAAGAAGTATCTTTGAGAAAAACTTCACTGTCCCATTTTCATTATGTTTGCCTAAGTATCTAAGTTGAAATTATGATAACCTCATTACTCTATGACATATAACGCGATCGTAGCGATAAGAAATATACCGATAAATCAACAAAAACCGTTTTTTCTCATCGACGAAAAAAAAAACGAGAAAATAAACAAAAAAATAATAGACGAAAACAAAAATCGAAAATGAATTCAATGTGCAAGTGTTGATATACATTGCGTGTGTTTGATATTTGAAGAAGAAGAAAATAAAATAAAAACGGAATGTGTACACTTACTTGACTTGTACAAGCACTCCATAAATAAACACAGCTACCTAATCCGACGGCAAGTACATTTTGTGCAGACCAATCAACCAAATTCAAATAGAAATCATCTTGTAGTTCGGGTGCGTCTAACACTTTAAATGGTATTCGTGATATTTTTCGTGTGGCTTTTCGTGGAGATCGCAGTAATTTTTGGCTTTTCGCACTGACCGGTGACAGTGAGTAAGGGCATTGCTCGTTATAATCCTGTAAATGAGAAGAAATAAAATAAAAGACAATGATCGATAAGTCCATAGAATAATCGAGTTACGTAACATTTTATTTGGTGACATTTGATCGTTTTTATCGGTTTGCTTGCTTTTTAATTCGATTGATCATACTTTATCTTAAGAAGCCAAAAGAAATGCGACAAACAGAACAGAAGTGACAAGATTCTCGATGGGTGACCACCACCATCACGCACAATTCGCGATGACAACAGTCAAAATTGGAGAAAACAAAACCGATAAAATGCAAATTTTATTAAGTAAATTTTTCGATCGGACAAAATTCGTTCTGTGTATATAATTATGTTTGCCTTTAACCTCGTTTATCCGTTTAGAAAATGAAAGCTTAATATGTTAATATTCTTTATTTATGGCGTGGCTTTTACGAATTATTAATGGATATAAATTTGTCTAAGAACATCATTCAAAGCGCATAAACAGAAATAAAACGTGTGTAATCAAATCGCGGGGGTTATTGTCTTTTTTTCCACTAAAACTTTTGTTGTGTATTTAGAGATTTGTTTTTTTTCTTAGTGACAATGAACTTGGCAACTGTATAATTCTGATGAGATAAGACTGAATGACACAATCACTAAATTCTATAATATCTTTTATTTTTTTCATTACAGTTTTTATTTACTGGAAAATATCATTTGGAAAACATTCAAGCATTGTATTGAACAGTTCATATGATGTGTGAAGCATTTACATAATACACTCTAATTGTGCGAGTAAAATTGATAAGTTCTTTTAATTGATTTTTTTTCTCGGCTTATTCGACAGTTATCATCAGAATGTGAGCATTTCATTTGACCGAGCGTTTTTGGATGAAACGCCTTCCTTTTTTTATTGCGTTTTGATGGATTTTCTAAATTTCATTTTCCAACACAAACCAGATCGGCTTATCACCGAATGACTAAATTCATAGTAGCAAAAACTGTATTAAAATTTAACTGAACTCAGTTTGCAATCAAGGTTACATTTCTAAATATTGCAATTATCGTTGTTATCACTCTCATTACTTTAGCCGCGTTATCAAATTAAAGTAAATAGATGTGATTCAGGCAATAAACCCATTTCGACCGACAACACATATCGAAATCGTCAGTTTCAAACAGTATACTGTAAAAAAATGTTCACTGGTTAATGTGTGAAAAGTGCACTTCATGTATGAGATAAGGCGTTTTTTTTGTAATATACGACGAAGATTTCCATATTGATCATGTTGCTTTAAAACATATCAGTTTCGTTAGAATTTTTCATAGATTATGTCCAATTTTAAATGAGTCCATAAACGCAGTGTTTCAAATTTATAGGTCGTTAGATCAAACCAGCTATCGTCATGGAAGAGCTGCTTTTTGACAATTTTTTTTCTGCCATAGCGACTAAATCTCAAATGTTACTTTCTCCTCTTTCAAAATTGTAGGCCGTCTGTTTGCACGCAGCAAATAGCACGTAAAAAAAGAAGACAGAGGGAGAAACATTTTGTGCGAAACAGCTTGACATTATAGGCTTGTATTTTTTTCTTCTTCTCTCGTTGACAACGCGTTCATAACAATAAAAATTGATGTTTATTGGTTTTTTTTTATCAAACGAAATTTTTGTCAACCTCATTGCGTATGCAAAACGGTATTTGTCGCATTCGACGTACGGTTTTGTGTCTAATCCGCCGAAAAAAGTCTACATATCTGAATGAAACTACCGGTGTGGTTTCTTTTTAGTGCGTACACAAACTGAAACTGTTATGAGTGTGATACGCACGTTTTGTCTCTCGTTCGTTTCAGATCTCGATTGTGTTGAAATCTCTAAAACATGTCACCAAATCGAAGCCAACATAAAAGCAAACGCAAATTTTCTATGGGATTTCTTGCGAAAATCTGATATTACTTATTTATCAGCAATTCGCATGCAAATGGCCAAATGTAAATAATCACTTTTTTGCGTAGCGCAAAAATTCCGAAGAAAGATAAATACATTCACGCACTTTGTTGTCTATGGCACTCGATGAATGCTTTTAGTCAATCGATTTGTCAATGTCTATTCATGTATACATTTCAAAATTTCGATTTTTATCGACTTAAACGTCCGAAAATAAATTGATAAAATTTAAAAAAAGACAATAATAAATGGATTTGTAACAGAAAAAACACGAACACAATCTATTCTTAGAAGGTGACAATTTATCTGAAAGGCTCGTCTTTGTAATGTCTCCAACATTTTATGGTTTGCGGTGAAATGACTAAGAGACAATTTTACAATCACTGTTGACTCAAAAACCGGACATTATGATAAACGAATAGAATAGTTTTTTTTACGTTTTCGTCTTTTTCATATAGTCAGAATGCATTTACCTTCATTTTTTTTGGGCACGACATGAGTTTCCTGTTCCATTGTCATTCACAATTTGCATTAGCTTGTTGATGGTCTACCGATCCATAACAAGTACACAATGGAAGATTTAATCGTCACTTTGAAACATTTACATGTTTTACAATTTTAAATTGTATTTAGTTCATATTATTTTGTGCGCCAAAGCATAAATGCTCACATGATCGTGCGTGTGTGCTTTTGTAAACGTGCGGCCATAAAAAGAAAATGTTTGCATATTCGTTTGCAAAACTTAAGCTAGTATAATAAACTTCCTTCAATTTTGTATTATATATTAGCATCGGCTACTGAAATTCCGCATCGACTTAATTAAAAAATTTATGAGTGAGCTTTACGAATGGAAAATTGTTTTATTGTAGTTATCACTCTCTCTTTCTCTCTATTTTCAACTGAGTAAGTCTGGATTATTTGAGAATTTCATTTAGCTTCAATTGATTATTATTCATCGCGATTATTTTCGTTGACCATTTTCAGCACGCAAAATCGTGCACTTCTTATTTACCTGACACTAATTGGACAATTTAATTAACAAAACCATCAAATTATTTTTGCGATTTTTGCTCTGTGATTTTGCTCGTATGTATAATTCATTGACGTTGCTTTTTAGCCACAAGATCAATCGATGTTTTATCGAGGTAGTCATAAAAACTTGGCCATAAACTAATAAATCAAATTCGATTCATTTGCAAAACGAATCGTGAAAAGAAGTTGAAAATGAACTCGTATGAGAGATTTAGAGAAATTCGCACCTTTTCTATAAGCATATACAAGTTGTCGTGAGTTCAGTATTTTGGTAAAATGAAAAAAAAGAGAGACATAAGAAAATAGAAAAAAAGCAGTCGTAAAGCTTGCAATACTTGGTCGATGGTAAAAACGATTTTGGGTTCGACAAAACTGAAAAATGGTCATACTAGTTACCATTCAAAAGTGGGAAAGACGATAAGGTGAGATAAAATATAAGTTAAATACTAATAGATAATTGGCATGGGAACCCAAAACATGTTCATTCATGAAATCCATAGAGCATCATCATCGATCACCCCCACAAAAAAAATGACTCGGGTTAATGAAAATATGTGAACTTTGCTACACAATGAATTCATCTAATAAATTGATATCAATTTAAAAATATGCGTAAAGCGAATTACGCGAAAACGAAAAATATTGACTGTTCTGTACGCTGTCTGAATCATATAGTTTGTTCATACATTTACATTGAATTCACTGCCGTCATTCACTACATTCTTCAAGCCAGACTAAATAACATAATTGCGATAATTGCATTGTATAAGAAAACCCCCCCTTTTCAACTTTTGATAAGCCTATTTATTATCTTAACGCCCAATTTCTAGTCAGTGAAAACTTGTATGACTAAAGCATGTCCACTGCTCAGTGTGAGACAAAAAATGTGTGTTTTTTTGTCGTTTTTGTTATTTGCATAAGGTATTTGCATAAATTAATTCGAAAACGATAAATAATAGAATTGAAATGAAACAGTCGAGCGAATTTATCTCTTCGTCCGTACGCATAGGCATACTGAACTATACATCGGTATCGCACACATTGTGTACATAGAGCAAGGTAGAATAGAAAGTAATAAAATGTTTCACAAGTGATTTAGAATTCTTTGTTATAGGGTTTTATACACTTCTATTTTGTTCAACGAATTGAATGGCTTGAAATTCCAAAATGTGCGAGTAATTGAATTCAATCGAAAATAGAATACATTTTAGGCTATTTTATTATCAACGCAAACAAACTGATACACGATTTTTTTTTTGTGTGTGTGTGTCTAAAAGTTGCGTTTGAATAAAAAAACATTTTATTGGGCTGCGTAAGAGAAAAATAACTGAATATTTACCTGTTTTGTTGGCGATTGATATTTGAAGAGTCCACGTTTTGCACTGCAAGACACATTTTCGTTGCGATCTTCGGCCACAGTTTTTACGTCTTCGATACCATTGCCGAGCAATTCATTTTTCAATAAACATGAATAAGCCACACTATCACGGGCTGATTCACCGCAATCACGTTGCTTTTTTGTTGCTTGCAATGAATTTTCATTTGATTTTGTTATCGATGCATAATTTGTTTGCCAATTATTGTTTGATCTGCAATACATCGAAATTTTTAATATATATACTTGCATAAACATATTTAATCAATCATAAATTCGATATAAGGTGAAATAAAAAAAAAAATGACGAAGAAAAAAGGTGCACAATAAGCGAAACTGGAGTCGATAAATATTTTGGATTTATTTGTTGCATACAGTCAAAGCAAATTCTTTCAATGTTCATCATTTTTCCGATGACTCAACTCAAACAACATTTTATTCGATCAAACATTTCGGTTCTGAGAAATTGCGCAAAACCCCGAGCAATATTGAAACATTTGACTCTAAAATAGATCGGGCCATTGACACATGTCACTAGCACGTGCATTTGTACCTATTCGACCGAGAATCTGCTCACTCACATGTTTTTCTAATACTCTTCATTTTTTACTATTCATTTTAAATGATGTGGCAATGTTGAATAAACCATTGCTTAGATTTCATATATTCGATGAAAAAAAAATCGCTTTACGATATTTATTAAAATCATTTAAAATAAATTCCGCAAATCGATCTCAATAAACTGATAAATACGAAACATTTGTCAAGTGGTCTGTGGCATCGCCTGTGTGTGTGTGTTCGTGTGCTGTTTACGCATAGAAAAAGAAAGACGAGCACGCAGAAGAATGATATTCCCAACTCATAAATCCAAACCTATTAAAAGCGGCGTGAATCGACATGGTTCCAGTAGCAGATGTGATTTAAATATTTTTGTGACTAATTAAGACATATAATCGGCTGGTTGAAAAACTTTTTTACCTGCACGGTATATATCGATCAAATGATGCACTTTCTTCGCACTCTCGTCTACTGAATAAATTTCGAGCGACCGGACTACAATATTTCAATACACGTTTTTCGTAGTCTGGGCTATACATTTCGTTGGACACCGTTTAATTTAGTTTATATTCACCGTTTCTGCCGTTTTGTTTGTTCAAACAAACAAAAAAAAATATTCTGCGTACTTTGCTGAATCTAAAAATGTGGGGAGAAAAAGAGAATAAACATTTTATTAGTAACAGTCATTTTTCATGAATATATTGAGTTGATTTTCAATTTCTGTAATGTTTTTGCTGCACGAGGCAGGATATGACCTCTGTGGGAATTACTGCCAAACATGCATTGAGTTCAAAACCACAATAGAATCTTAATTTAAATCTAAAAACCACAAAAGTTCGCCAGCATAGAGGAAGTTCTGTTATTTCTACGGGTGAAAAACATGTCATTGCATAAACTTATTATTATCGCATGAAGCGAATGAAAAAATTGTTTCAACAAAGTTTACATATTAAAAATTGTCTCTTCCATTTTACAGTCAAAATTATCGAATAAATTTATACTTTGAATAGTGTGTGTTTTTTCGGCTTCGAACCAAGGCAACAAAAAATGTAGGCGATCTTCATATGGGTATTAATTGACGTGGTTGACTGCAAAAGGTGAATTCTTTTTTTGTGTGTGAAATTGTAGGTGTCAATTTCCGAACAGTGAACTCATTTTGCACATCTTTTTTTTCTATTCAACCGTAGTTTTCGCAACGTGGAATACTCAACAATATGTTAAATGAATGTTGAAATAAATGCTTATCAAATCTCCAGATACTTATCAGAACCTTTGATAACACCGTTTAACGATTAAATTACACCATATTAAGTAACAAAACTTACACTTGTTTTGGTCGAATTGAAAAAAAGATTCGACGAATTTGTAATTTTTTTGTTGACTAGAAATTATTTAAAGAAAATCTTGAGCAATAAATGTAAGGCGCACTCAGATGATAGAAGAGGTGATGCAAAATCGTTTGAACCATATGAAGTGTCGATCGAGACTGAAGAAAAGTAACCGATTTGAAAAGTGACAATATTTTTTGATGAAATGTACGAATGGCAGTGAACGAAACGAAAAAAAAAGTAAAACAAAACGAAAGAGAAAGACAGAAAGAGTGAGCATATGAGTTATAGTCAAGCGTCACATATGGTATCGGCGGTTTTGAGCGTGCGATTATATTCCAATTTATACGAAGACGACGACATACACACTTGCACCCATGTGTGACTGTTTGTCAAACAATGATAAATATTTTTAAACTTTGGCTACAGCCATACACAAATAATAGCGTGTGAGAGCGGGAGGGAGAGAGAAAAAATGCGGCAAAGAACGAACCATGGACATTAGTCAAAAGATAATGTGCACAAAGAGCATTAGAAAATAGGAAGGGAAAGAAAGAGAATCGTGATTAGGTGATAACAAGCGATTTTATAAACAAAACTCATTACATGTAATCACATTTCGGATTAATTTTACTCTGTGCATCATTACCACCCAATGATTTTGAATTGTACAATCGATGCAAGCAATTAAGCGCGATAAGACGGGGTGAACAATATTCAAAAGTGCATTGCTAACGATAAACTCATTCGATGTTCTCTTTGGCCTGCTTGTTCGCCGTACACAATTTGGAATGCATTAATTTTCATATTGTTGCGTATGTCTTTTGTATTCGAACGGCGGTCGATGGATGAGGTTCTCCTGAATTCAATTTATTTAATTCGAATGTAAATCAACTTTATTGGAGTTTATTGTGGTGCATCCAATCACGTTATTCACAAAAAGTCGAACAATAAAAGCATTTTATTCATATGCATTCTGTGTTTATATCAGTTGATAAACACAAAAACACACATACGCTGCATTTTATAGAAACAAGCATTCGGTATGTATACATATTCCGTAGCGAATTGAACTATGTTTTATGTTGTATTGGCATTGTTTTACTGCAAGATTCTAGAGTTATATCGGACAAAATATGAATGCGCTATTTAAACGTCTTACTCAGCCGCTACACACACAGACTTCTTTCCGGTGAATTGAACTACATTTTCAAGCCGATTTTTTTTTTTCTCGTGCCGTTTGGCGATAGCAATCAATTGATTAGTAAACGCGCCAAAAATCGTCACAAAATAGTGTTCGATTAACTTTGGATATTAAGTAAGGTTAGGATCTGAAGCAACATCATTTCAATATGACCTAAATCCCGTGCATTTGTCTCTTTTTTTTGCACAAATTTGAATAAACTACAGTGTAATGTTTTCATTTGCAAAAAAACCACACATAAATTAGCCCAGTTATTTTTTTTTAAAGAATTCTGTCATTGAAGAAATTGAAACCATACAAACACACATTGTATTTCGATTTGTTGACATTAGCTGGTTGAACACACATACGAACGTCGTACACATACAACAACAACAACAATATATGTGCTACGCAATTGAATCAATGCATAATAAATTACATTCAATGTTCGACGCAACTTACTTTTCAATTAAATTAAATTCGGTATCGTTTGATTCATAAAAATAATCAATAAATAGATTAACCGTAATCTATTCAAGAAATAAGCACATTTCTTATCGACGCAACGAACAACGAAGTAAAATGAATTACACAGGTTAATTTAAACTGTCAATGCTATTCAATAGCCAACAGCCTATATTCTGCGTTTTGTTGTTGCTACTTCTTCTTATTCTCTCTGTCTATTTTCTATACACTCTCTCCTGCATAGACACTATTGGTTGTATATATGGTTTGGTTTTTTTTTTGTATTCCTTTTCTTTTAATTCACACTTTTTACGTCGCACACACAATATTCTTCATTTTGCTATTTGAATGCACCAAATTTTTTCAACAGAATTTATGCACAGAAAACTCAACAAATTTATTGAAATTTAAACGAAAAAACTGAATTTTTAGCTGTAGCTGATTGAGCATCGTCGTACGGTGTGACGCAGTCGAACGAATACAACTGCCATATAAATATAAAGCCACATACAATGAATGAGTTTCAGATGGTTGTCTCTTTTCTACTTACAGTATGCATGGGTGAACGCAGAGCGGAGCGACTTTCAATGAATGAACTCGTGTGAACTCTCACAATGGAAAACCTTTTCAAAATGAAAGCCGTTAACACATTTTCATTTTGAGTGATCACGTTATTCCATTTTTGTTGATAATTTGCATTTTCAATTATTTTGAAGCCATTTTTCAAAAGTGATTGTTCGTTTCTCTCTTCTATTCTCAGTCAAATTCAAAAATATACGTTAAATTTATTAAATTCATCGGAAAAGGGGAATTGACATATCGAACCAGAAAAGCGACACCTGGTGTCTGTTCCCGACATTGGATGAACTCTTGCCTCAGCACGAACGATTTCCATCACGAAATCTCATTTAAATGTACAAGTTAAATAGTAATATTTGTTTACGGTTTGCAACAGCTGTTTCATGCCTACCCTCGACGTAATAATGAGTACATACAAATTTCATTGAAAATTAATCTCTAAATATTATTTCAGACAAGCCTAGTCAGGACAGCAACAGTTATTTACCCGCTCTCACTCAGATCAATACTGGGTTCTAATCACTGTATCAAAATACAAAAATAACAAACTATTTATCAAAAAAAATCACATGCAATGTGTTTACTTTTGATTTTTTCTGTATTTTCTAAGAGTATGTTTGACCGTTCTTAGAGAAACTTCCTCCTCCATATTGTCGAACTGGTGTAAGACTTGCTGATGGCAACAAAAAAGTTCACATAATCACACGGTTTTTTTCTAAAAAGAAATGTTGTTGACTAATCACAATAACTAATACAGAAATAAATAAAACAACACGAAAAAAGTCTAGTCCGGTGTAAAATGTATTTAAATTGAATTTGAGCACGAATTGTGTATATCACGAACACTCCTCTTGTGGGCTGCTGTCAGACATGACAGATGTCAATCTTTTGCTCCGACTGGTATGTTTACGAATTTCATGCCAATTGTCTACAAGTGCTTTGATATCCAGAAAAAAGGGCACAGAACAATCATGGAAAGTGTTTTCGTCATCGAAAATCCAATGGATATAAATCTCTTTGTGAGTGAATGCAATGAGGTGCAAAAATTGAAATTAGGTGAAATATACCAGATGCGAGACAACACATTGTCAATATGCTGTGTCCATTGTTTACAAGAGTTTCAATATTTCACTGAATTTTCGTTGCATATTCAAGAGCATTTTGTACGCAATGAAGTGACCAAATTGAAGGAAATCAACGATGATTCGAGTAGATCATATGAAAATAGTACCTTACAATATGCCGACTGTGACAAAGAATCGGAAGTAAAAATGGAAAGTGATTTGTTCGATAAGGAGTTTGATTTGGCAAATAAATGGTGTGAAGAAGATCTCATCGATAATAAACATAGCATTTTTGAGCCCGAAATAAATGTCGAATCGTTTGAACGACTTCCAAAATCACCATCGTTTGTCGAAGGTACGGATTATGATCAGATTAACGGTAAATATCGGTGTTCAACATGTAATCATGAAACAGCACAATGGGAACATTTCAAAGATCATTTGATGACACATTCGAATGTCCGAAATGTCCTGTGTCCGCTGTGCTCGAAAGCATTTGCAGCCGTTTCATATGTACGTAAACATGTAAATCGAACACATAAAATGAAAATCACCGCAGATAAAATACGAGAGGCACAACCATCATTTAATTCAGCCATTATTGTACCGCCAGCCACTGAAGCCAAATCATTCGTCGAAGGTGAAGATTTTGAAAAATCCAATGGTCGATTTAAATGTTTAACTTGTGGCCGTGAAATGTTGGATCATGTCAAAGAGCATCTGCTTACTCATTCGAACGAGAAAAATGTATTTTGCCCAATTTGTGAAAAAACCTTTATAGCCGTATCGTATGTTAGAAAGCACGTCAATCGTGCACATAAAATGAAAATTACGGCAGAAGAAATTAAATCGGCTCAATCATCTTTCAATATTCCACGGGAGGATAAAAATCGAACAAGGAAAAATGTTCTTACATCTGTGGCGCGTTGCCCGAATAGAAATTTGGAAAAAATAGAGAAATATTTTGAATGTTTTGTTTGTCATCGACAATTTACGAGCTTGAGTTCACTGCGAATTCATCAGAAACTACATAGCGGCATCAAATATGCTTGCCCTCATTGTAATAAAGTATTTGCAATGCGAAGCTATGTTCGTGACCATATTGTGGCCATTCATGGCCTAAAGAGAGACGAAATTCCAAAGGATAGCATTCAACAGGCGACAACTGTTATGACATCAGGCTCTCAGCAAAACAATGAGCTGTTTGACTGTAATCTATGTCATAATCAATACACTAAGAAACAGACGTTGCGTCAACACATGAAAACACACACTTCTGGACCGTTTTTATGTGTTACATGTGGGTCGGTGGTTAAATCTCTCGCCAATTTACGGTATCACATGGAACGACATCAAGCCGATCCAAACAAACGACACAAATGCAATATATGCGAAAAAACCTACCCGACTTTGCGCTACATGCAGAGTCATTTTCGTCACATTCATTTGAACAGAAGAGAAAGAAAAAAACCAAAGAAATCGACCGAAATGGATAGTGTCGGGGGTGCTTTACCAAAAGAACATGTGATTTGTATTTAAAAATAATAATGATCATTCCATTAGTCCCTTTGAGTAAGATTCTGATAATTTTAAGTAAAACTTCAAAATAAAAAAATCACTTCAAAAATGTATCACAACCGAAAATAATTGTACTTTTAATTTCAACCGACAATGCTTGAATTCTCTCCGATTTTTTTAGCTCCACTTTCTTAAATTGTTCAAGAATTTTCTTGAAACTGTTCTATATATGCGTATGAAGTTATGAATTTCTAAAAAAAGAAAAATACCACTGTTGTAGCAGTTCAATTTCATGACTCGAACGCCATCTGAATGCTGTAAATAGAAAGAAAGGTGTTTCTCTTACATCCACATACATTTCTCCTTATCCTTACATTATTTTTATTTCATTGAAAAAATACCAGAGAGCACGAGTGGTTACGTTTCACAGCACTATTGGTGCTGTCAAAAATCTAAAACGTCAAACGTTAATGGTAAAGAATGTTTACAATTAGCTCTCGAAGCATTTTCATCAATTGAAAATCATCGTAAAAATTTAACAACAAAAATGGAGAGTGTTTTTGTTGGTGAAAGTTTGATTGATATAAATCAATTGACAAGTAATGGTGATAATCAATTCAATAAGTTAAAAATTGGTGAAATTTACCAGATGAGAGACAACACTTTGTCGATGTGTTGTACGCATTGTTTACAAGAATTTCAATACTTTACGGAATTTTCACTGCACATTGAAGAGCATTATCTACGCGGCGAAATTGCTCGGCTGAGTACAATCAAAGAAGAAATTGAAACCGAAGTACAAACACCAGACGAAGAAGAGCTTACAAACTTTGAGTTGCCACCACCGGAATTACTGGAAGTTGAACCCGACGTTAAATGTGAAGTAAATCAATATGAAAACGATGGTTTTTTCGATTATGATTCGGATTTTGCGTGGTCCAATCATGACGACCAAAGCAGTTTAGTAGACGAAAACGAATCGATGCAAAAAATAGTAGATAATCTACATATAAGAACGACAGCAAAACCTGAACCCGTACCGTTGATCAAATTAGGAACCGATTATGAAAAAGTAGATGATAAATTCAAATGTTTGACATGTAATCATGTAACAGCAAAATTGAAACATTTCAAAGATCATGTATTGACCCATCGAGCAGTAAAACACGTCGAATGTCCGATTTGCCAAAAATTATTTGCAAACGTTTCATATGTGCGCAAGCATTTGAATCGTACACATCGAGTTAAAATGACCGGTGAAAAAATTAGACAAGCTCAACCGTCATCAAACGAGGCAGAAGCTATTGATTCAGCGCTTTTTTGGACAAACCCAGCAGCACCAGCACTATGCAAATCAGAACCACAACGAAAAACGTACACCGAAACAAAATCGTTTGTCGAAGGTGAGGATTACAAGAAATCCGATGATAAATTCGAATGCTTGACTTGTAATCGTAAAATGGTCAAATGGGATCACATGAAAGAACATCTGTTAACGCATACAAGTGAGAAAAATGTATTTTGTCCAATTTGTGCGCGGGCCTTCATCACTGAATCATATGTGCGAAAGCATGTCAATCGAACGCACAAACAAAAAATTACGGCAGAAGAAATAAAAGCCGCTCAGTCTGGCATTGATATATCGCAAACGAAAGAAAAGTGGATGGTTGAACGAGAGAAGAAAATCGCAAAACAGGCAAAATTAAATAGACCAAATGCGACAACAGCAACAACTGAAAAAGAAACAATACGTTGTTTGGATTGTGCCAGACGATTTACAAAGCCGCGCTATGCTCAGAAACACATGCGTTTAATACATGCAAAAGTATTTACCATCAATGAATTGATGAGTGGTCAATCGTCTATTCCCAATATCGCGGATGATGATGGTGATTGTGATGATGATGAAAATGATGACGAAATTAATTTGAGAACGGATGACGATCCAAACATGGAAATAACTGACAATAAAGAAATTGACACGGAGCTGGGAAAGAATTTTGAGTGCTATGAGTGTCACAAGCGCTTTGTTCGATCGAATTCACTTCGAATTCACATGAAACTGCATAGCGGCATCAAATTTTCTTGTCCCTACTGTGGGAAAGTATTCGCATTGAAGAGTTATGTTCGTGATCACATCGTGATTATGCACGGCATCAAACGTGGTGATATTCCAAAGGAAATTATTCTACAAGCAAGCGGCAATTACATTTATAATCCGCAACCGAATATCGAAGCATATGAATGCTATTTGTGTCGAAATCAATATCGAAAACGTAATCGGTTGCGTGAACACATGAATTCACATATATCTGGTCCATATTTGTGTGTGATTTGCGGTGCTGTTTATAAATCTACCGATACCCTGCGACATCATATGGAAAAACACAAAGCCAATGGTGTACGATATGAATGCACTGAACCAGATTGCGGCAAAAGTTATCCTACACGACGATATATGCTATCGCATTATCGCACCATTCACTTGAACAAACGACGAAAGAGAACAGCGGTGGCTAAAAAACGCACGATTTCATGCGAAATATGCGGTCAGACATTTGTAAATCAGCACAATTTGAGGATGCATATGACAGGTATACATTAATAACAAGCAAAACAAATAAAGTCCAACGTTTTTTTTCTACTTTTTTAGTACATGATCGAAATCCGGATGAATTAACTTGTAACATTTGTGGATGGGAGTTCAAGGAGCGTGGCAATTTACGACAGCACATGGAATCACATGGAAACAATAAAACCAATTGCAACATTTGCAACAAAGTCCTTTCGATTCGTTACATGGCCGAACATCTACGGATTCATACGGGGAACAAAGAGCATCAGTGTGCCACCTGTGGAAAGCAGTTCGTGTCAAGAGAAAGGTTAAAGCGACATAATCTTCACCATACAGCTGAACCAAAGTTCAAATGTGATTTATGTGATAAAGCATACACCCGTTCCGATAAACTATTGTATCATCGACGATCTCATGACCAACAAATGACACACACATGTCAAAAATGTAACAAAGGATTTCTCACTCATAAATCGTTGCGAAAACATGAAAATCAACATTATTTAGAAGAAAAAGGCATTCTAAAATCGAATTAAATTCATGTTGAATTGTATTTGTTGTAAAAAGTAATGATAATAAATATGACTATTCTATCAAATATTTTCAAAAAGTTTTCGATTCCCCTCTTGCGATTTTGCACGATTGTAGACCGGACCTTATGTCCGATTGACAAATGTCACAAAATCGGTTCTGTCAAAACTAAATATAAATATACCGAAATCAGTGTTTATTGTTTTGTTTACTTGTTTGGGAAAATGCGTTTTTATTCGTCAAAATCGATCGACCAATTGCATTAAAATGTATCAAATCGAAAGTGTTTTCATTGGCGAAAGCCAACAGGGTGAAGAGGCGTTAATAAAAACTGAAGTACAAACGGAAATCATAAATTGTTTTAGAGTTGGTGATGTAACACGAATGGCGCCGAACCAATTTACCTTGAATTGTTCACAATGCTCAAAAAGTTTTTATCATTTTCCGGAATTTACTTTGCACATTGAAGAACATTTTTTGCTAGGAGACGTCTTTATCTCATCCACCGCCACCGTTGATGATAGTTTCATCAATAATGTGTTGAAATCGAAGAGGATTGTCAATGAGGATGTGGTTAAAATTGATTACACTGACGAAAATGAACCAATGGAAATTGTTGGCGATGACATCGAATACGACAATAGTTTTATTGAAATTGAAAAAAATGATACGGAAACAATGGTCGAGTACAGAGCGAACGACAATGATGACCACATTCCATCCGACACAGTCGAAGAATTTGAATCAGTATTCGATTTACCACAATTCATCGAAGGTGTTACATACAAAAAGGTCGACAATGGTTTTGAGTGTATGATTTGTGGTTTTAAAAGTGCCATGAAAAACAATCTCAAGTCACACATTTCTGTGCATATAAAAAGTAAAAAGTTTCACTGCTCAATATGTATAAAGGGCTTTAGTAGTATTCATTATGTACAAAAACACATTAAGTCCATACATAAACAAACAATATCGGCAGATGACATACGCAAAGCGCAAAACACACTCAAACAAATTGTAAAACCGAAAAAATCCGATCGAAATGGTAATGCGCCGGACGAAGTATCGAAATTGAAATTAAATGTGCTCAGCTCCAATTACTGGCGAACAGAAGGTAAACGATATACATATCAAATAGGGGAAAGCAGTCATTTTGAACTTATTTTTTTGATTTTTCTTTCCAGGCAAAAATTTCCATTGTCCTTTTTGTGTGCAATGGTTCTGTAAACCAAAGTATGTACAAAAGCACATACGGTTGGTGCATGGACGAAATTGTAAATTGGATGATATTCTGGCGGCTCAAATTCAACCCGAACTTAAGCCGGAACCAACAAAATCCGTTGAAATGGTCACTCAAAAACAAATTGAATCATTGCAACGCGAACAGTCGAAAGATACAGGAAAACGTGCCAAATCATTTGAATGTTTTGTGTGCCATACAATGTTTGTGTCAGAAAAAGCGCTTCGATATCACATGCCTTTACACTCGGGCATTCAGTACAGATGTCCATTGTGTGAAAAATACTTTTCGATGCAGAAATACGTTCGCGATCACATGGTAATTTTGTTTGCTTTCAATTATGAAAATCATTTTCATTGGTAAATCATTCAGTACTGCCAATACATTATTTTCTCTTTCAATCCAATTCCAGATTTACAAGCATGGTTTTGATAAAAAATCAAAATTACCACCATTAAGAAAGCGAAAAAATAGAAAATTTTGAATACCACAAGCCCAAAGTTTCAAGATTTGAATGTTATTTGGATCATCGAACGTATCCATCGCGAAGCAAATTAAATTCGCATATGAAAAGTCATTTGGATGTTTTGGATTGCACCATTTGCATGAAAACATTTAAAAGTGTTGAGAGTCGACGTCGTCACATGCAACTTCATACGGCCGATCCAAATGTACAGCACTATTGTACGTTGTGTAACAAAGGATTCTCAGTGCGCCGGTACTTGATGAGCCATATGCGAACAACCCATCGAAATCCAAAGGCAAAAGCGGAAAGACCACCCAAAACGGCGAAAATTCTCACATGCGAAATATGCCAAAAAGTATTCGACAAACAAGGAACGCTCAATAAGCATAAGAAACGACACAACAAAGAACCAACACGCTATATGTGCGATCATTGCGGTGAAGAATTTGAAAATAGCCACATTTTACGCAGACATCTATCGTCCGTTCATAAGATCAGTAAAAAATATTTCAAATGTAATGTGTGCCATAAAGTCATTCCAAAGAAGCGTGAAGAAGAGCACGGGAAATTCCACTCGGGCGAAAGAGATCATCAATGTGAAATTTGTGGTCAGACTTTTGTGACCGAAGGATTATTGAATACACACAAGAAACGACAGCACGGTGGATCAAAATATGATTGCGATATTTGCCCCGAAAAATTTGATCAACCGAAGAAACTGTTACATCATCGTCGATCACACAACGAACCAATGGAAATCAATTGCAGCATTTGTAATCTTGGATTCTTTAATGCCAGATCATTGGCTAAACACGAAGTTAAAAAACATGGACAGAATTTGACCAAATTTGAAAGCGACAGCGATAGTGATACGCTGACATAAAATGCCGTTTAATTTTTATTGAACTACATTGTTTTTCGGAAGAAAAAAAAAGATTTTACTTTTCATTCATTTAGCGATTTAGCCGCTTAGGAACATAGTTTTTTAAAACATATATTTTAAATAAATTGCCATTTTAACTCATGTGAAAATATTCAGTTTCATAGAAAAATAAAATAAAGTATACGTTCGAAAATAAACAATGTTTTAAACACTGGTTGTACATACGTTTAAGTATGCAAGGAACCTAACTACAAACGCCGGTCATATGACTTCGTTGACTATGGTTCCACTAAAGATGAGTTTATAAGTTATATAATCAATTGGTTAAAATTGTCGGATGTTTAGCACACATTTTATTTACGCCATTTGAAAAACGTAAACATGGTTAATACATTCAAACCGAATAGACTGAATTCTGACAATAGTTGTGTACATTGTCAAAAATTGTCATTCCCAGTGAGGCAACCAATTTTTATTTTCTCTCTCTCTCTCTTTTATTAAATCTATTCTTTTTTTTTGTACATTCAGTCTGAATGATTCAGGTTTCCACATCGATAGTTCTGGTTGAACTGTAAACAATAAGACAGTGAATAGATTGGGCTACAGCTATAGCAGTGCTATTTTCACAGCTCCTATTCATAGGTGCTATTTGTGAACAATGCATACGGGCAGCGATTTTATGATACAATTCTGGACAATAGACCTATTGATTTGTTTATGCAAAAAAAATGTAAAATACTAAAATCAATTGTTCTATTTAAATTTTGAACATTTCGTTCGGAATTGTATCATAAAATCGCTGTCCGTATACGTTGTTCACAAATAGCACCTATGAATAGGAGCTGTGAAAATAGCACTGCTATAGCTGTAGCCTAATCTATTCACCGCAATAAGACTGATAAGAAGCGCGTTTCATTCACTTTAACATATTTTGACATCGCAAGGTCTTTTTCAATTTTGAAACTTTGTTCGTTCTATACCGAAGTCAAATGATTGTAAAAAAAAACTCTATTTTCAAAACTCAGCAAAAATGATGAATTAGATTACACGCTACATAGTAGAGAGTATGCTATTATATGACCGCGCATTCATCATTCCATGAATAGAATGACATAATGTTTAATTGAATAATAGCTATATGAAAATTGCAAAGATGCTATGGTTATTACCGTTGCCTCCTCCAAATTAATTGCTCGTCGTTATTTGAAATGAATTAAGAACAAATATCAAGAATCGACTGTGAAGCAAAGGAGAAAATCAACTAAAAAAGCTTGTAAATAAATTAATTGATGGTCATCAAAATACGCATCAGTCTACACTCGATTTCGTCAATTCGAAATAGATCTAATAAATTTCGCGTTTTTTGGCGGTTGATTGTCTGAGCGCAGATCGGCAAATTTTTTTTTTTCGGCAAAAAATTTTTCTCGACTAAATTTTTACTGCTTCATAATGTGGATATTTATAAATAGATCACATTTCACAATATACAGTCAACGCAAAGATGATCGGCCGATTTATGCAAAGGTCTTTTTAATGTTCCTGGTTTAAGTAGAAGAAGATTTATTTTTAGGCAAACATTTGTATTTTACGAACTATCCCGGCAAAACATAGGAAAACATAAACTGCATCTGTGTTTGAACATAAAAAAACAATGGAATAGAGTAATTTCGAGTAATTTACTGTATTAGCATCATATGTGAAATATGAATATAACTTTGTAAATTGTGGTAAATTGTGGCATATCGTAAAAGTCATTTTGAAATATTCACTCGTCAATTAATGTTTCTCTCTCTTTCAATTTTCGTATTCTGATTTTGGCAATGCCATCGATTGGCCGCAGTTTTTGTCGTTAAACTAGCCAAATTTATTGCTCTCCCGCAAAATCTTGTACACCACCCTAATAAACGAGATATATGCACATACATGCACACAATGTTATGTGTGACGAATAAATGATGAGCTCTGTTCTATGCGAGATCTGGGATTGCTTTTATTTTTATGAGCAACGCGCGATCGGCTAGACAACGTTAAAAAGCAGCAATAATTTTTCTCGTGCGTTTGCAACTAAAAAAATTCACAAAATAATTGAAAAGTGTAATTTTTTTTAATTTAAACACAAGCAGAACCAGTTCAGAATGCACAGAGGTGCATTTTATCGAAAATTAATTTGACCCAAAGTAAATCGTTCCGGTGAAGTGAACTACTCAGAAATAGCAGTTAAAAATACAAACAATACGCTCTCAAATTGATTTGATCAAGAAAATAAAAAAAATGTCACAAAAAGATAGGCATCAAGTCTTCCCCTCCAACGGGTAAATAATTATTAAATTAATAGTGGTGTTTTTTGTGTAGAGCAATGTGAATATGATTCGAAAGGATAATTTTGGAATAGAAATATGTGTCTGTGTGAAGTGTGATCTTGTGCGATGGATGTGAATCATTGATGTCGTCAATCTCTGTTCAATAAAAAAAGTTCGTTACCTCTCTAGACGACACGGTGATTTAATATAATATGTATCAAGGTTATATCTACTACGCACTTAAACTACATCCGATCATTGTATCATACAAAAGACGAAAATGGAAAAATATCCAACGGGACATTTGTGAATGCAATACATTCATGATGTTTGCGTACCGTGGCTGTAGTAATGATGTATATCATTGCTGCGTTAAATCTATCTAATTTAATTGAAAACCAATACCAAATGCGTCCAAATAATTTCCGAACGAAAATCAAATTCAAAAATCACGAAAATTCAAATGTAACCTTTCAATTTATTTTCAATGAAATAAAATCGTCTTTTGTCCTTGCACGCCATCTACCGGAATGCAATTCAATTGAAAATGAATACTTTCAATCGCTTAAAGCTCCCCATGGCACAACGTGTAGCGCCACAAAAATCCACGACGTATTTTCAACCAACTATGACATAAAAACTAAATTTTCTATAGTGTCAGCTGACTTATTCACTTGTGATCACGATTTATTTGTAAAAACACGGAATTGTACAGCTACAAATATTTGTTAAAGTTTATCGATTTGAAGCGAAAATTTTGCTGAAAAAATGTCCGGAAAAGATAAATTGGCTATTTTCCCATCTCGTGGGTAAGTGATTGCAATTTGATTATCGAATGAAATGGGAAAAATATGGACAAATTTCGGAAATTATCTATATTGATACTGCTATCAACAACTAAAGTCACAGAGAAAATAAATCACAGTATATTCAATCGAAAAAAAGTGTTTCAACACCGAAAATGTGTTATTGTGATTGTTTTTAAAATCATCATTTGAATACCCATCAATATTATTTTAAGAAAGTTTTTGTTGCATTGAAATTCGTTCGTCAAAAAGTCACAAGACATTCGTTGTAAATCAAGGTCTTGACACTCTGCGCGACTATTGTCAAAATATAAATTGCATGCGAAAGGTTCTTTTTAATGATTGGTCTGTGTTTTTCGCATTTTCATAGGGCACAAATGTTGATGAAATCACGTCTAGTTGGTGCTCAAAAAGGTCATGGCTTGCTAAAGAAGAAGGCAGATGCATTGCAAATGAGATTCCGGCTAATTCTTGGCAAAATCATCGAAGTGAGTATATTTCATGTCATAGGAAATAACATTGCATTTGATATTTGACAAAATGTCTAATGTCCATTGATATTTGCAATTCACAGACAAAAACTTTGATGGGTGAAGTTATGAAGGAAGCTGCATTTTCATTGGCCGAAGCAAAATTCACAACGGGTGATTTCAATCAAGTCGTTTTACAGAACGTCACCAAAGCGCAAATTAAAATCCGCACAAAGAAGGACAATGTGGCTGGTGTTACACTTCCCGTGTTTGAATCATACACCGTATGTGGAGAAAAACGTTTTTATTTTGTCATATATACCGTTTATTTACTCAAATTTTATGTATTCGGTTCTTGTTGTTTTTATATAGGACGGTTCTGATACCTACGAATTGGCTGGTCTAGCTCGTGGTGGTCAACAATTATCGAAATTAAAGAAGAACTACCAAGCGGCCGTTAAATTGTTGGTGGAATTAGCTTCGCTACAAACTTCATTCGTTACACTTGATGAAGTTATTAAAATTACCAATCGACGTGTCAACGCCATCGAGCACGGTAATTTTTGGTGAAATTATAAACGAAACTCACTTTTAAAATTCTAATCAATTCATTTTTTTACACAGTCATTATCCCACGTATCGAACGCACATTGGCCTACATTATTTCCGAATTAGATGAGTTGGAACGTGAAGAGTTCTATCGTCTCAAGAAGATTCAGGTAGGCAATCGTTGTTTTTTCAAGCCATCAATTTTCGAAAATCCGTTTATATACGTTTCTATTTCGTGTTTAGGATAAAAAACGTATCGCCAGAAAGAAAGAAGAGGCCCGGAAAGCGGCCCTGCTGGAACAAGGAATTGACGTGCGCGAATCTGCCAACATTTTGGAAGAAGAAGACAATGACTTATTGTTCTAAACTCACTTAATTTCATTATCTTATTCAATCGCAACAAGTTCTTTTTTCATGCATTGCCAATTACTCCGGCTGGGGTGCATGCAACACAAAAACAATAGAATTGGAATTTTAGAAATGACAATGTATTTCTTTTTGTTTTTATTTTTTGCCATTCACAAAAGTCCAAAATTTCGAAAATATATATCCAGCACCAATAATATTGTTAGGCTGTTGATTTTAATTCAAAAACACTGTGCAAAAAAGTATAATGTACAATAATTATTTGGGTATGATGTAAAATGATCAGTATTTTAATTGGCAAAACATGTTCATTAAAAATATATAAAACCATTGGTTGACCACTCGATTGAGTATTGAACGAATCTTCTTTTTCAAAACAACCATATTTTATTTGAGAGAAAGAAATACGAGAGAAGTAAAAGAAAATGTTTTTGTGTTTTATTAAAGGCAATATGTAGTGTAATTGTATTAATTAATTAACCAAACACAGAAAATATTCCAATGGATTTATTCCATATTATATTGTAAATGTTTTAAAAAAGAATTCTATTCAAATAAATGATATCAGTTTACATTGTGCGTTTCATTTCATCAAATTTTAATTTTAATTGCCATTTTAATACGGTGATTTTCATAATCTATGTTACGAATCCTAACTTACGATGGTTCCATTAATACCAGACCGTTAGAGCTTCTTAAAAAATGAACCAGAGGAAATTCGAATGACTGAAAAATAATTTGATATTTAGTATTTCACGTTAGTAAAATGAATAGGTTTTTTGGTGGGCGAAAGCTGCAGTTTATTTGATAAAAGCCGTGGCAAAAGTAACACAGTGAGATATAAGTGCATAAATATAACAAATAGTGTTTGGTTATTATCATCACAATGAAATCAATAATCTGTTGAACATTTTAGCGATGTCATGCTCGTCTGACGTACATATAATAAAATTGAGACGGTTAATGTAAAGTCTGATAAAAGTGATTTCTTTTTTGTTTAAAGTCATCAAAATGACTTTTTTTAAATAAGATACATGACTTGTACGTACTTGTATATTATTCATGTAACAAGAACCGTTTTTAACTTGGTTTTTAATATCGATATTAATGAAGTATCATAAAAAAGGAATATCCTCTATTTGCCACCTGAAATCATCATAATCAATTATCAATATCAAATGCACATTCAGTTTGACTCAAAATTTCATATGAAATTACTATTTTGAAAGTTTCGCGTGTGCATAAAATGTTGCCAAAACCTTTAAGCATAACGGGTTGTTGAGTATTAATTAAAATAGTTGGTATCATGCGTTGAACGTCCAATGGAAACAAGTGCCAATCACATTGATAAAGACACTCATTCACATCCATAAATCCATTTGTTATATTCTCACCAAAATTGCAGAGAAAAAATATAGTGGAGAATGACCAGAATATGAGATCAATTTGAGTCATCAGAATGGAGAAATTGGTATTGTCTTGAGACAAAATTTAAAAAAAAAGAGAAATTGTTGCATTGAATCATTTGCATTTGAAGTTAAATCTTAAAAATAACATTATTAAACGTAATAAAACCCACCAATTCAAATTCAGCTATTAAAAGAGTGCTGCAAATTGTTACACTACTCCACAAAAAGTAGATCAAGAAAATGAACTCATAAGCATCCGCATACTTGAAGGCAAATCTTAAAATAAATGTTACCCCCTTACTATATTACAACAGTTTGTGGTAGTGGTGTAATCGTGGATATATATACTCAACTCTTTCACAGTCACATGAAATTCAACGAATTCTGAGAGTTTGCCCTTAAGTTCTGTCTGATTCCTTCCATCCTTGCCAATTGCATTTAGAGTGTTCACTTCTTGTTTGAGATCATTTACGAAGGCAAGTATCATACAGCATGAAGTGGTCGCATAAATTAGGATACTTGCAGTAGCGAGTAAAACGCAATAGATACACATAACATCTACTGTAAAAGCTACCAAATAGTTGATGGGATCTTTCCAGTCGAATGGGTGCCTATTTATTTAGACATAGAAAAAATAGTCCAAAAATAGAAGGATATTAACCAAAATAGTTTCTTAACTGGAATAAAAGTTATATTCAATTTACCACATAAGAAACGGTAAGCGAAATGATTCATTTTCTAAATCAGTTGCAAAGTAGAGATAGTAACATAGGACGAGAAACGGGGTAGTAATGCCAAAAAGAGTCAATTTCATCATTAAAAACTCAATTAATTTTGTCCATTTTTCGGCCTTTTCATTTGCCTCCTCGTAAATTGCCTGAGACACCGTGTTCTCTATTCCTAGGTATTGATAAATTAAATTTAATGTATGCATTAGATCTACAGCTATTGATATATCAACGCATCTCCTCGCTCAGACGCTGTGTATGCTGGACAATATAAACATTTTAAATCATTTCAAACAATGATAAAATTGTTATCTCCAGCATACACACCGTCCGATTTTCTTATTGATATATGATTAGCAGTAATAAATATCTATCTAGATCTAATGTATGATTTAATGTCTACTCATTATTATGAGAGTGTATCGAAAATATTAAGTTTTTTGGAATCAATGTTGCTCCTACGCATAACCTATGCCAAATGGTCCCACGAATCACGCTCAGGTGTTTTTTTAAGCAATGTGCCTCTTTTTATTTAGACTTTATTGAAAGTATAGTGATTTTTTATCAAACTCAAGAATCTTAAGAATTGACCATTTTTGTGTATCTTTGCGGTCATATTGGCTATTGCGTATATCCTGAACCTCCTAAAGGCATAGCTATGCATTTACAATATATCGGATTAGAATGAACAATGCGTTTGCAACATTTAATAGAGAAATACGAGGGAACGCATCTCTCTGACCATGGTGAGGTACACTTTGAAATTCCAAGAATAATAAAAAATGCACTGTAAAACCGATTGAATTAAATTCACATTTATTCTAATATTTGGAAAAAGTCATCAATTAAAATAATAAAACAATAATTAAAATAATTTGTTTGAATTAATTTTGTTAGTTTTGAGCAACACACAATGCAAAATAAAGTTGTACGAGAGAAAATGATTAGAACGAAAGTAACAGGCACGATTAGTTCGAAAGTCTCAAAAGCAAAAGTAAGAATACATTATACTAAAAAGATTAAAAAGTTACAATAAAAATATTTCTATATTCTAAAAAATACGGAATTGTTTTCTTTGTTTAAAAACACTGAATATTTCAAATCCATTTCAATAAGCAAATAACTTTATAGTTTATCAAAAGCTAAAAGCAGTGTTATGCACTAGAGTGTTGAATGGAACACCAGCCGGTTAGTTTGATACGCGAAAGTGCGAAACAATATTGCTCGATTTCGATTACACTTAAAATGTAACTAACTTTGTACCTACTTTTTTCTATTACTGCTTCAAATTCCTCAATCAGCTTAAACATGTTAGATGCCTTCCAAAATATTATAATTAAGAATAACAGGTTCGCTATCGCTGTAACCAATCCATAAAAGCAATCCGAATATTCTTGCATGGTTCTTGCTTCGGTTAGAATGCACATTAATGTCGATATAACTGCTATTAATAATACAAGTGAAGCGGCCCAAAAATTGCTACTTATCGAATGATTTTCAAATGCTTGAGGCTGATATACGCCCAAATGTTCATAGATTTTTCGTGTCGTTTGAAAAATTTTCATAATTTCGTTTCTGATTATTTTTGATTCAATTTGAATTTGAAATGATTGGCAAATGTTTCGGTGTTTTATTTTTTGGAAAAATTGAATTTTGGTTGAGTTTTTTCAAAATATTTTTGAACTTCAACAATGAAATTTCTCTTGAGTTTTTTGAAAACCAAAAATGAATTCAATGATTTTGTTATGGTCGATTGAAATCACAAGTGTAAAAAACAGACGATTCTATTTACTATTAAGTTAGTATTTTTTTGTTTTGAAAAAAAGGGAATATTATTTTGCGACTAAGTTCAATGAGATCCAGAACGTAACTGAAACCACATACGATTCTATTTGAATTCAATATTGACATTTACTGCTGCACAGTGCACGGGTATGAAAATATTAACATATTGGAAAATATAAATAACTGCCAACTTGGCAGTGCCAAGTAAGCTGGAAATTCCTAGAAGTCTGATACAAATCAATTGCAACAAGGACATTTTCACGTAGTCTGAACAACATATGCATTTTTTATTGTTTTGAATCTATTTTCAGCGGCAAGAATCGTACGATGTTAAAGAATTGTCCAAACACGTATGTAAAATGATAGAGGTGACCTTTCGTTTTATTTGTACAAGAAAACGTGGCGATATGTTCGCTTATATAGATTTTCTTCCACCCTGGTCTCGGAAAACACATGTTTGAGGTGCCAGAAATGTTGACCCATTGCAATACTTTCCCCTTGCACACTAGGTGTGTGCAGAAAAGTAATATCCAGCACCAATAATATTGCTTCTTTGTTGATTTAAATTCGAAAACACTGTCAAAAAATTATAGGGTATGATGTAAAATGATCAATATTTTAAAAAACATGTTCATTAAAAGTATATAAAACCATTGGTTGACCACTCGATTGAATTTTGAAGGATTCTTCTTTTTCAAAACAACCATATTTTATTTGAGAGAAAGAGAAAGAGATACAAGAGAAGTAAATGAAAATGTTTGAATTGAAGGCAATATTCAGTGAAATTGTATTAAGCTATGGCTAATCATAATCCATAAGTTTGTAAATCATAATCAATATTCCCGTGTAGTATACGGGCGCTAATTTGAAGTCGCAGGCACTCTTATTCGCGCTATCGGCGATTCCTCTTTAAACATTTTCGCATAAAGACACAGCAACAGAATATGAGTTATGCATACAGTACATACAGTCGACAGAGTCACTTACTAGCATAGCACACAATATGAATAGTATGCACAATGTGCATAGTGTGCTATGATATTGAGCGACTCTGTGGACTGTATGTACTGTATACATAACTCATATTCGGTTGCTGTGTCTTTATGCGAAAATGTTTAAAGAGAAATCCTCGATAGCGCGACAAAATATTTTGCGCTCTCGGTCATTCCTCTTCCAAAGCGCAAATAAGAGCGCCTGCGACTTCCATTTAGCGCCCGTATACTACACGGGTTTATTTACATAACTTAACGAAAAAATGCCGATTTGAGCTGAAATTGGTGTGTTTTTTTCGTTTTGAAGTGAGAATATAATTTTCCTACCAAATGCAAAGAGATTCAGAAAGTAGCTCACGATTTTCAAATTACTTTCTGTATTTATATGACGCACAGGTATTTTCTATTCAAAAATAATTGAAAATTCATTGCAATATACGATGTCATTGTAAAGATATTGATTTGTAACTAGAAAATGGGTATTGTTTTACTTTTTTTCATTTAATGTTGTCAATTAATATAATTACCTATTGTGAAAAATGGCATATGGGCCGTTTAGGATGATTTACTATCAGAGATGTGTACGAACGCGTTCGTATAAAAACTGTTCGTAAATTACTCTATTATAAAAATACCTTCCTCCAAAGGTGGAACGATCTATCTGTAATTATAACGTGACTTTGTGGACAAAAAATGCATTATGCATATGCCGCATTTTTCATCTATTAAATCAACAAAACAGTAGAAAATGCGCTGAATTTTTTTAGATAAATAGGACACATTGATAATTATACGAAATAAATTAACACTATAGTACACCATGACATTTTAAATGTCATTTAATTACAAAATTAATTATAATTAGCAGTGTGTCCTATTTCGGTTCGCGCATATTTCTATGCTTGCCTAAATACGCTAGGTAGCATAGATATGCCAAGTATAGCCGCAAACGCAACCGACGCATCGCCGTTCAGTCTATATGAACAATACACATGTTCGTTTATGCAGACGACCGTGCGCATACAATATAGCTCGAATCGAATGGTGACGGGTGCGTTGCGGCTTGCGTCTCCGCTATGCTTAGCATAGCTATCAGGCATAGAAATATGCGCGAACCGGTCACTGCTATTTTGTTTACTGTTTTGTTGATTAAATGAATGCCATATGCATTTTATATGTGAAAAGTTTGACGCCCTACAACACGTGATGGATTCATGGACAATAGTAAAGATAAAGATAATATTAATGCAAGAGATAGCACAAAAAATGAAGAACAACTATGTTTTGATGAAAAAATTCATATATTATGCATTGAATCAATTTCTTTTGGGAAAAAACAAAAATCTGATCGTTTAAAGTTCCAATTTTGAAAATCGAGATGAAACCACTGAAAATGGCACAAATGTTGATGACAATGCTTTGTATTCTAACCGCAGATGATTTTACAAGCATTTGGATGAAGCGGGCTTACATTGCCTTTAGTTGGTTTACTAACCGGATTATTGACAACATTTACATTTATTTGGAAATTTGCATCATCATTTTTTTGGCCATTTTTAGTGCCGTTTACTCGTATATGGTTATTTTCTTTTTGCGACATCTAATCGCTTCTTTTTTTGAACGTCTGCACACCATTCATGATATGTGTAAGTTAACTCCAACATGACAACATTTTACTGATGAATTATACAATTAAATGAGGAATAAAATGTATTGCATTCAGACAAAGACGGAGACTCTGACCAATTTTTAACTCGTGTAAACAATTATTGCGAATGTTTATGGATGTTTTACTTCAAGTGGGTACTTTGTGGAATACCTATGTGTAATTTATGTGCATGTGTGTTTTCAATTTTAAACTGTCTATATAAATACGTAGAATTTGATCGAAATCACGTATATTTACTCTTTAATATGATGTGAGTAATGGACCGAATTTTAAATAGAAGAAAAAAATATAATCACATATTGAATTAACCTAAGATTTCCATGGGACCAATCAATGCTTATTAGATATATGGCGAAATGGCTTATTGCATAACGGGCTCGTTTTTCTTCTTAATATTAAGTGGCCCTGTTGTTCTGATCTTCATTTCGATGTGTTTGCATCATCAATCGTTTTATAAAATATTTCAACATGAACTGCGCAAATTGGATGCCATATGTCCTCAGCAGGGGTCCCCCCCACCTGACGAAGTGTTACCCTTTAAAAAATTTCAAAGAATTCTTTCAATTTGCTAAGGATTTTGGCCAAAAAAGTGAAGAGCAAAAAAAAAAACGAAAAAAGTAAGGTAAAAGTTCACTTTTTTGCTTACCCCTCTCGATTTTTTTCAATTACATTCCAAATTTTTCCCTTGAGGACGTATGTTGGATGGTACCAATAAGAATCATAACTTTTAATTTGGCCCGATGTTTATTGATTGCTCGCGAGATTTTTGTGAACCATTTATTTCCAGTTGGTTTTCATTCTCCGCGGAGGTTTATCAAATTATTCTTTTCTTCATACTCACATACAACGTGCTAATGTTGGCATGCACTATGCTTCAACTGGATATGGTAACATTTCGTAATTTTTTTTTCTTCTTACGATTTTTGTCATTTGAATTACATTATCTGTAATTTAAATTGCAGCAATCACAGCAAATCGATATTAACGTTCGTCTTTTCGGAATGTTTGCCATTTATTCCCTTACAAACCTATTTTTGTACAATTTCTTTGGAAATATGGCATCAAATAGTTTCGAATGCTTAACCTTCTCTACGAATGTAATTGGACTTCAATTCAATCGTTCGATCTTCAGAATTATTTTATCCTTATGATAGCAAATGCCCAACGCCCAATATTTTACCATGGTTTCAACGCGATTATTTTGAATTTGGAAACTTTCGCCGGTGTAAGATTTTTGAAACGCTCCTTCTTACTGAAACTGACACACATATTATTTAATTTATTCCTATTTTGAATTAAAGCTGATTAAAACTGTGTTCTCATACTACATAATTATGAATGACAGCAGTTAACATACGATTGAATACACAACTTTTTATGCAACTAAGTTATTTATTTATTAAACACCGCAAATAACAATTTTTGATCCAAGCATCCCTTCTTAGTAATCGTAGTTAGTAATCAGTTCTTTTCCTTACTTCAAATTACATTTTTGAATGATATTTAACTTGTCACTTTAGATAACAAAACACTGTTCAACATAATAATTTTATTCACAGCTACAAAATTCATTTCTTCGAAATACCTAACTATATAGTAATAAACTATAGAAGTTGTATACAATAAAAGATGGAATAAATTCGGTTGAAAAATTTAGATTTGAGTGCAAATATTGTGTACTTAAGTAATAATAATTTTGTTTCGTATTTGAGTTAATATTAACTTAGTTTCAGATATTTCAGTGGAGGGGAAATCTATTCTATCTATCTATGAATCACCTTTGAAGTACATTCCTGGTTGCCTGTGAATAAAAAGGTAATAAAAAAAATATTACTTAAATTCATGGAATCCTATATATAAAATTAACAAAAAAACTCACGTTCTTAATTAGTAAGAAATTCTATCTGTGAAATGATGAAATACAATTTGGCTATATCTGCGGCATAAGTGTTTCTCTCCGGCAATGCTCCTTTAAATAATTCGGCCGAAATCCATGCGTATTCTCCCGACTTTCGCCTTTCCACATCGCATTTAATCGTCTCCAGTTGAGCAAATAATTTGCTCACTTTTTCTTTTGCAGCCTCATAATCGTAAATAGTACTGTTATAGTTGTCGATTAACGTTTTAACATCTCTGTTCATGAAATTTTTGCAAGTGCCAAGTGATATGTGACGTCGCCGCTTATTACCATATTTTTCACCAACCAAAATAAACAGCTCATCATCCTTTTGGTTATACCAATAACGATTGTTTAAAATATCTTTGACGTGTTGGCTAGTCACATGGGTGTATTCTTCATATGGATTCTTAAATGGGTCTACAAAATCTGGATTCGGAAAATGATGGTGAACATTGACATAAAAACAATCTCTTTCAAAATCGGAAAGTTTTTTTGTTTTACAGTTTGATCTATAGTTTGATGTGTAAACTTCGTTAAATGTGAATTGATGCTTTATTTTAATGCGTTCGATTAGGCGGTTATCGGTGATATTACGGGCAACCCAACGTGGTTCAATTTTGATGCCATTGTCCAGAAAATATTCAATCACCGGTTTAGATTCTGTGACTATTCTATCTATCCATTTAGATGCATCGTCAATTGACACCGCACCATTTTGTAGTAAATATATAACCTCATCAGCTTCAATGAGTTCATAAACATCACCAAAATGCATTTTCATTCTTTTAATAAAGAACACGAGATCGTCTTTTTCCACTATCCATCGATATACACGGAAAATGAAATTAAAATCATACAGACATTCGGGATCTGGTTCGAACTCGTCCAATTTTTTTGGGATAAGAAAATCGGTGACAAATGCGTACGTCTTCTTTTTATTTTTTCTATTGTCATTTTCCCGCTCTTTTTTTTCTGCGGCTGCTTTCGTTTGTTTATTTAGCTCTTCTTGTTTATGCAACTCCCGATGCCGAATACGGTTGCGTTTGGTCAGATACATTCGATTGCATTGTCGACATCCATGTTCGTCTTTGGAATGGTTATTTTGTGAATTTTTTTCCGAAAATGTACATTGACAGTAATCACAATGTATTTTAGCATTATTTTCTCCGTCGGCACTTGCTTTTCGATTTTTCTCGTTCTCTTCACAACAAGGTAATTTTGGTTTTATCCAAGTGGCCATGATGACTTTTCCACTGAATTGCAATCGCAAACAATTCAAATAGTTTGTAATATTTCAAAGAAATTTTGAGAGTTGGCTTTGAATGCGGTATGAGCGACTTTTTTAGAAAATATATGATTACACAAAATCCGTTGCGCAAATATCAATCGGCGTGAATATGGTGCTACTGTACTGAGCTCTAATGACGTGTTGCGAAAATTATGCGAATGTATTGATTGAAATGAAAACGCAATATACATAGTAGCAGTAGCACCATTTCTTACTCATACATTCAAGTATTTACTATTTACTTAAGTTGGCGCTTGATGAGCGACACATTGTGCATGTATATTTGCCATACAAACCATTGTTTTATAACTTTGCTTACTTTATTTTGTTTAAAGTACAACCAAAACCAAACCGATATTCAATTCGAGTCATTTAGAAAGCTTATGATAAATGCCATTTTTTATTCATCTTATACTTTAATACAAATGTTTTCTCTTCTTATATTCCTAGTGCAAAGTCTTGACAAAAAAGTATTATTCAGTTCTATTTGGAATCATCTAAAATTTCACCATCAACCGACATCATTTCGATATCATCCTTACTGTCACCACTCTCTTCATCAATCTCTGTAACATCTTCACCGTCCAACTTTTTCTGCAATTCTTGAATAGATCGCATCAGCACCGTAAAATCATTTCGTCGGTTTTCCAATTTTTGATCCAGTTTCGTTCGCGAGTCCTTCAAATTATCCAAATCTTTTTTCAGCGATTCAAGTTTGGCCATGGTTTCCTTGCGATCCGGTTGCTGTGAAATGACCTTTGCCAAAACATCATATTCCATGCGATTTTTGCGTATCTTTTTCGCTATCACCAAATTTTCTTTGCTTTGTGTAATCTGAACTTTGGCTTGTTCAATGCCACCATCAATTGCCTTTGATATATCCTTATAATTATCCAGTTCGTCTTGCATCATTTTACGGCAAAATGCTGATTTGCGTACAGTGAATTCACACTGTGCCAATTGGCCCAACATACGATCATAAGCCGCTTGCCTGAAATCAAAACACTCAATTAATATCGGAACTACTACGAACAGGAAGCATTTTGATGAGATTTATTTACGTATTTTCAGCGGTGTCTTTTGTGTTACTCCATTTGATGAAACTTTTTAGCAGCACATTCAAACGACGGTCATCACCGGTTCCATCACCATCGATTAATAAGCGCCGCTTAATCACACTCTCTGAAAACAAAACAAACAATGTGTGTTACACTTGGCTACAATTGAACATTGGGTCTCCATTCAATTTCTGCTTACCGTCATTTGCCATCCTTCTATTTGGTGCGTGAAAAAACGTATGCTTGAAATTAAACAAATTGTTCAAAACCTAAACAAGATACTCACTCTGAGTGTTCAACGTGAAGTTTCAGCGTGTTTGTTTGACACAAGTGTCAAATGTTTGCGACTTTTTTTCTGTTCTAAAATAATGTTTTGTCAATCATTTGACACTAAACCAAACAAATTTTTTAATTTTCAGTTTTTTTTTTCATGAAAAATATTCAAAAATATAATAAATTGTGTGTCAATGTGTTTGAAAAAAAAATTGGGAACAAGAATTGGAGACAATAAAACCCTCAAAAGCAATCTTTGATGACTGCTATAATTTTCAAACGGCTTTGATATCTTAAATAGACAGTTTTTGTGGTTTGACAAAAGTTGTCAATCATCCTGTAGTTTCATTGAAAAGTGAAAAATGTATTGTTTACACATAATTTTATACGTGCTGAAATAGAAAAGAATTTCAACAAAAGCAAAATTCAATAATAAAAATCGCTCACGGTTGTGAAATAAATGTGAATAGAAATGAGTGCGGCAAAAAAGAATTGGACATTTGATGAAGTGCAAGCACTGATACATGCTGTGCGTAAAAATCCAAGTTTATACGATCGACGAGATCCTGACTACAATCAAACACGTACAAAGGAAGTAAGATTACACGTACAAAGGAAATTAAATAAAATTCTCTACAAAAATGTTGAAATTTTGCAGGATATTTGGAAAACGATATCAACAAATGCGGCGATTGTGGAAAAGAATGGTAAGACATTTCTAATAATTATCGCCACAATTGAGTTAAATCCTCGTTTCTTTTTCTAGCTGAAGAGTGCAAAAAGAAATGGAAAACGTTACGCATTCAACAGCGTCGCATAATCATAAAAAAGATCAAGAAAAATGAGAAACGTTCGGCAATCCAATGGAATTGTTACGAAGCCTTGAAGTTTCTAATACCGCATATGGATTGGACGGCAACCGATGAGATAAAAAAAGATCCTGAGCTGGATTTATCAATTCTGTCCGATATGTGTGATGACGAAGAGCCAGAAGAGTGTGATGAGACATACGAAAATGAAGAGAATTGTGAAAGTCAATCGGAAAGCAGTTATGGCAGTTCACAAATGTATCATGATGCGTCAGTGACTGAAACAGCCGCCCAAGCAGCCGATTCGACAAACATTTCACGTACCGATGCACTGTGCACGCTAACAACAACACCGATGTTTACAGCCACCGGTACGCCTGTAACGACAGACAATAAAATGAATCAGTATTTGGTGGCTTATTTACCTACAGCAGCACAAGCCAATCCCATTCAAATTCGAAACGATATGATGGACGCACAAGCAAATTGCGTATCAATTAACAATGGAACGGCAAATGCACCACATACAATGTATGCCACTTCCGCTGCTGCAGCTGCTGAACCCGCACAAAGTACAACAACCAGTCCGCTCGATACCAAATATTCAATGAATAATCAACAACGAATCATCACCGTTCCGGTATCAACCGGACCAATTGTCAATTATTTTTTAATGGATCTCGCCGTACAAATGGAAAGACTGAATGACATCGCTCAAATGGAACTGAAAATCGAAATACATCGTTTACTGTTGGAAAAATTGAAAAATGTGAATAATTTGCGTCAAACGCAGACTTCAATATGTTTCACAACACCACAAAATCCGAATTAAAATAATGCAAGGGGAGCATTGAATGATTAGTTATAAGGGAAATTGTGTGTTTTTTTTTTTAATACTTTTATTTTCGGATAAAATACAGATTTTAAGTATATTTCGTTCTCATTTTATATATGTATTGTATATATGATATAAGTAATCGTAAGTCATTTCATTTAATTGTAATAAATATAGATTCTGTTTGTTTGTGTTTTAAAAAAGAAGTGATTAAAATGATTTTTAAACGCCTGGCATTTTCATGTTAACTTCAGATCTTAATTCAACAAGTTTCTTTAAAGCCTCCAAACCTTCATTTTTATCCAACAAATCTTGGTAATTTATATATGGATTTTTTTCCAAAAAAATATTGATCGGCTTGATTTGCGGGCATGAACCCAACTCATTCAACATTAACGCATCCTGCAATTTCTCTTGAAGAAGATCCATAGCCTTGGATAATACAGAAAGAAATACACTTGGATCAACGTTAGGCTGTGCTGGCATGCTTCCTATAGAAGGTATACCAAGAATGGGTGCTGCTTCGTCTTCACATAACTCTGGGAAGTCGTCCATTTCAACCGTCGTTTCCATACTGAGTTCATCTTCTTCGTTATATGTTTCGTTAGAAATGGCCGAAATAAGAAGAAACTGTAAGATAATATTTGATTTAGAGTGAAGGTAGATGAAATTGAATTGGTTTACCGATGGTAATAAAATCCACACGATTAAATTGCAATGTTGCAAAATAGAAAGTTGCATTTTTTTAAAGAAATTATTTAGCTGATGAATGTCGATTGAAATAACGCGTGGTCACAGGTGAACTGATAAAATAACGATTTCCTACCAATTTTTATATTGAATAGATTGTTTTCTTTTTCAATGCCACATATGGATTATTTTTTCAAGAACAATTGTTTTTTTTTTTCGTTGTCGTTACATAGCGCTGTCGATATCTGTTCATTAAACGCTGTCGTGTACCAATAAAATATATTTTATTTATTTTTATGACAAAAATAAATGTCTACACAGCGATTCATTTGTGCAAACAATTAACAAGACTAAAGCCACGAGTCCGGCTGTAATTCTTTAGAAAATACATTAAATTCAAGGAATAATTTTTAAAACGACTTAAATATAATGTGAATAAAATTTCTTTATCAAAATTTATTTTTATTTTGATACGAAATGTCTATTTTCACTTTTAAATTCCTTAATAATTATGCATTCGTTGAGGTTATAATTTGAAAATGATTACCGTAAAATTGAACATGTATTCTGATTCAGTCTGTGATTTTTCATCGCATTATTTTCCATAGAAAAAAGTCGGAAACTCAAATAACAGCAGACATTCTCAAGAGAACCCATTATTTAAAATATATCTCACAGAACACCAACACTGAATGCCATATAGAATTTCATAAAATAAAACAAATATCCTCATGATATATCGTCTACCAATTTTTTTTGGTTGAATCTTCATAGTTTCAACGGCAAACTAATGTTCATTTAAAATAGAAAATTATAGCAGAGCATAGTAGTAAAAAAGTCATTAACACATACATACACAGAAATAGAAGCATACACTCACATGTACGATAAATGTCAAACGGCAAAATGTCAAAATCGCCTTCACGTGTATTGTTATTTGGTTTTTTTAATGAGCATAATGTTTTAACATCTCAGTGGAATATTGAATGCAAAGCAAGGCTTACTTTTTTGCTAATTAACTAAACAAAATTGTGTTTAAATAGCATCAAAATATGAGTGTTCATTTTATTAAACGGACGTAGCGATTAGTGTATTAACAAAATGCCCGAAATAAATAGTATTTTTATTGACGATCCAAAACGTCTGCGAGAGCCGATCAAATCCATTGAGGTTAGATGTGATTTAATATTGAAATATTTATTATAATTGATGAAATATTCCAAAAATGTGATTTTAGTTGTAGTTTTAATTTGGAAAATTTTCAAAATGTCTGAATAAATGTGAAATTCTGTTTCGTTCGTCACACAGGATAAATGGAAATTGGTGCCGGCATTTTTACAAATCAAAGGTTTAGTAAGACAACATATTGACTCCTTCAATTATTTTGTGAATACAGACATTAAAAACATTGTCAAAGCCAATGAAAAAGTGCTTAGCGATGTAGATCCAACATTTTATCTAAGATATTTGAACGTTTATGTTGGCCGACCGGATGTCGAAGATGGTTTTAACATAACAAAAAATACAACGCCACACGAATGCCGGCTGAGAGATATGACTTATTCAGCACCGATAACCGTTGATATTGAATACACCCGTGGCACACAACGTGTCGTTCGCTCGAATTTATTGATTGGTCGGATGCCAATCATGTTACGCTCATCGATGTGTGTGCTAAACAATAAATCGGAATTTGAAATGTCACAGCTAAATGAATGTCCACACGATCCAGGCGGTTATTTTGTGGTCCGTGGACAGGAGAAGGTCATTTTGATTCAAGAGCAAATGTCACACAACAAAATGATTACGGAGGACTACAATGGTATAATGCAGTGCATTGTAACGAGTTCAACACATGAAAAGAAATCAAGAACGATTGTTTTGAGTCGCGGTGGAAAATACTTTCTACGCCATAATTCTATGACCGATGACATACCGATTGCTATTATTTTCAAAGCTATGGGCTTGTCAACGGATCAAGAAATAATGCAATACATCGGAACGGATGAACATACCCAAAATCGATTTCAACCGTCACTTCTTGATGTTGTTAACAATAAGATTTTCACACAGCAACGTGCATTAGAGTATATGGGCACGAAATTGATTGCCAAAAGATTTACAACAGCAGCTACAAAGCATTTAACACCGCCGGATGAGGCCAGAGAATTGCTTGCATCAACAATTTTAGCTCACGTTCCAGTCGAACGATACAATTTCCAAATTAAAGCAATTTATGTGGCATTAATGGTGCGCCGAATTATGGCAGCTGAAATGAATGACGCTGCTGTTGACGATCGCGATTATTATGGAAATAAACGGCTTGAATTGGCCGGTTCGTTGTTGTCACTCATGTTTGAGGATTTATTCAAACGTTTCAATTGGGAATTGAAAACAATTGCCGACAAGAATATACCGAAAATAAAAGCCGCTCAATTTGATATTGTGAAGCACATGCGAGCCGCCCAAATCACGGCTGGCCTTGAAAGTGCTATTTCGACGGGAAATTGGACTATTAAACGTTTCAAAATGGAACGTGCTGGTGTGACACAAGTTTTATCGCGACTAAGTTACATTTCGGCATTGGGTATGTTGAACAACATGCATTTTTTTAAATTTATATTTCTAATTTCGTTTAAATTACGCTTAGGTATGATGACAAGAGTTAATTCACAATTTGAAAAATCGCGAAAAGTGTCTGGTCCGCGTTCGTTACAGCCAAGTCAATGGGGTATGCTGTGTCCATCCGATACACCAGAAGGAGAAGCTTGTGGTTTAGTAAAGAATTTGGCGCTGATGACACACATCACAACTGATGTTGATAAAGAGCCAGTCATTCGTTTCATTGCTTCATATTTGGAAGATATACGTTTGTTGAGCGGTGAAAGTATAAATAATAGTCGTGAAATGATGGTTTTCATCAATGGTAACATTCTGGGCGTTATACATGATTATCGACGATTGCTTCAAGCGTTTCGATTGCTACGTCGTAAAGGTCGCATTGGAAGTTTTGTATCCATTCACACAAATCATTTGCAACGTTGCGTTTACATTCACACTGACGGCGGTCGACTGTGTCGTCCATATATTATTGTTGAAAAAGGTGTTCCATTAGTTAAACCACGTCATATTGAGGAATTGAATGAAGGTATTCGAAAATTTGATGATTTCATCTCCGACGGTCTGATAGAATATCTTGATGTAAATGAAGAGAATGATTCATTCATCGCGACTAGAGAGCACGAAATTATCGCTGAGAAAACAACCCATTTGGAAATCGAACCATTCACTTTACTCGGTGTGTGCGCTGGATTGGTGCCATATCCTCACCATAATCAAAGTCCACGTAATACATATCAATGTGCTATGGGAAAACAGGCCATGGGAATCATTGGATACAATCAGAAAAATCGCATCGATACTCTTATGTATAATATCGTTTATCCTCAGGTAAGGGAAATGAAAAAAAATAATCGCCCGTAAACTGTCACATTTTCGATTTTCATTCTTACAGACCCCAATGGTTCGTTCAAAAACAATCGAATTGACACACTTTGACAAATTGCCCGCGGGACAAAACGCTACGGTGGCGGTGATGAGTTATTCGGGTTACGATATTGAAGATGCCTTAATTTTGAACAAAGCATCAATAAATCGCGGATACGGACGATGTTTGGTGTATAAAAATACAAAATGTACGGTTAAACGATACACAAATCAAACGTACGATCGTATTATGGGTCCATCGAAAGATGTGGCCACAAACAAAGTCATTTTTCGGCATGAAGCATTGGACAGCGATGGCATTGTGTCGCCCGGTGAAATGGTTCAAAACAAACAAACGATGATAAATAAAGAAATGCCATCGGTGACATCGATTAATCCGGTTGAACAAAAAGAGGCTGGAGTTCAAAATGTTTCATATTCGCCGGTAATTTTTTTTTGTCGATTTAATACCGTATTTTGTGGATTCAAAACTCTTAATAATGTTTGATAGGTGCCGATCACGTACAGAAACGTTGAGCCGAGCTACATTGAAAAGGTATTGGTGACTGCAAATGCTGAAGAAGATTTTCTGATTAAAATTCTATTGCGACAAACACGATGCCCGGAAATTGGTGATAAATTTAGTTCACGTCACGGACAAAAAGGTGTCACCGGATTGATAGTTGAACAAGAAGATTTACCATTCAATGATTTTGGTATATCACCGGATATGGTCATGAATCCGCATGGTTTTCCGTCTCGAATGACAGTGGGAAAATCGCTTGAATTGCTCGGTGGTAAAGCCGGTCTTTTAGAGGGAAAATTTCATTACGGCACTGCATTCGGTGGCTCAAAATGTTCTGATATACAGGATGAACTATTTAAACATGGTTACAATTACATGGGCAAAGATGTTTTCTATTCCGGAATCACTGGCGAACCGCTTGAAATGTACATCTATTCGGGACCGGTAAATGAACGCAAACTACCTTTGTCTATATGTATTTGAATATAAATTAAGATTTTTTTTGTAGGTTTACTATCAAAAATTGAAGCACATGGTACAAGATAAAATGCATGCACGTGCACGGGGTCCCAGAGCAGTTCTGACACGACAACCAACACAAGGTAGGAGCCGAGAAGGTGGTCTTCGTCTAGGCGAAATGGAACGTGATTGTTTAATTTCGTATGGTGCCAGTATGTTGATAATGGAACGTTTGATGATATCGTCGGATGCATTCGATGTTGATGTTTGTAATACGTGTGGACGCTTGGCATATTCTTCATGGTGCCATAATTGCAAATCGTCTTCCAGCGTTTCAAAAATATCCATGCCATATGCGTGTAAACTTCTATTCCAAGAATTGACGAGTATGAATGTCATACCACGTTTGAAACTTACAAACTATTGATTTTATAGTGGTTACGAAGAATTGAGTAAAAATAAAACAAAGCAAATGACTGAAACAAATAAAAGCATGTATTCTCATTTCATTATTTACATTACGAAACCGCATTTGGTCAAGGTTTCCTGTGAAAGATCTGAAAAAATGAGTAGTAGGAAACACCTTTTCAAGTACACAAAAAAAATATTTTAATTTATTTTGAATAATACGATAATTGAAAATTTAAGAGAGAGAGAGAGAAAATACCATGCAATGAAAAGAAATAAAGTGCAAAAGGCACACAGAAAAAAAAGCGTTGTGTGAACTTTTTGCAACTTTCGCCTTAATTCGGCAAATTATTTGGACTATTGGCTGTTGGATCAGTTGGACTATTGGATGTTGAACTCATGACAATAATTTCTGTTTCTGCTTCTGGTGATGATGTATTCAAATGTTCACTAGACTTTAGCGAGTCTGAAGGTGATCCAGATGATGATGTTTCTGTCTGTGGACACGGCGACGAGTCAAAATCTGATATACCATAACCACTCTTCACTACTTGTCTTCTGAAATCACCCACCATTGAGGAATGACAGTTCTAGAGATAAAATTATAATCTTCGAAATTTGCATGATCGGTATTTTAGCAAGACAACACGAAAATCCATTTAAATGGATAATTTTTCTGTCATGGAAACTAGAGAAATCTGTGCAAAACGTTAAATTTCATTAGTCAAGAACACAGAACGATTGATGATCACGTTTGAACAGCTGTTTTTGTTAATCAATAAATTTTATCAGCTTGGAGAATACAAAGAAAATGACAGCTGTTGAACAATGATAATTCTCTTTAAATACCTTTTCCAATGTTGGCGCCTTTTTAAAACCACCCATCATCGCATTCCACCAATCAACTTGTTCCATATATTTTGCCAAAGAATCTTTACAGTTCGTGCATATTTTATCGGTAGACTCCAACTAAAAAAGCGAACTTTGTAAAATTCATGAATATAGAACAAAATATCAATTAGGCTTACATTTATCCCATATGTGTCGCTTAAAAAAGACAATTGGAACGAACTAACTGGTTCATTTGAAAGAACGGGGCTGCAACATAGATTACATACATCACTTAGGTTTCGTTCATTCTTCATAGCATAATTTGCTAAATTTGCAAAACGGATGTCATTTTGGAATGATGTAACACCTTTCCAGCAATTTGCACAAATTTTATTGATGTCATAATCCTAAATTAGAATAAGAGCAGAATAGCTTTGATGAAATTGTAAAAAAAATATAATATTCAAAAAATCGACTCACTTTGGTTATTTTTTCACGTATGAATAATTTCCATTCCGTAGACACTGGTAAGAGAAGAATAATTGCAACATTGCATAATTCGCAATGCTTTTCGGTTGGATTTTCTTCTGCCATTTATTCAATAACTTTAAATTTAAAAATGAGCCACAGAAAAAATAAAAATATAATGAAATATGGACCAAATGTGACTGTGATACGCTTTCATTAATTTGACGTGTCGTTTTGTTTATATGCCAAAACTGTGGTTATGTCATTCAGTTGTACTTAATTGTACTTTAGATGTAAATACATCGAAACAAATATTTAATAAGCATCAAATTCGTAATTTTCAAATAATTTCAAATAAGTCGTGGCATTGAATGATATAAAAATGTTAAATAAATTAACCAATTTCCTGAAACAAAAAAAAAACCTAAAATGAAAATCTCTTTTTACTACTAAAATGTACTGGTGATTTAGAGCAACTACATGCTGTTGTTATTCCCAGATCTATTGAGCTTAAATTTGACTGCAAGACTTTCGATTTGCCACGAAAAATAAAATACATTTGACTAAAATACGCAAGAGTTTCTTTTTAAAATAAAATATTCAAATATATTTTTTAAATTGAATGATATTTTTCTCAAAATGTGTGAGAAATGATTTACAATTAGCATTAGATAACATTTATTTCTAAAATACATTATTCTATTCAATGTATTGGGGTAAAATTGGATAAAATTAAGCTGATCTTGGTGGTCGTTGGAATGACGGTCTCGGCGCTCGTTCGAATGGGAACCTTGGTGCTCTTTCAAATGACGGCCTTGGTGATCGTTCAAATGACGGCCGTGGTGCTCGTACACGAAACGGGCGTATTGGTCTCATCGGAAGCCGCATTCTTGGCATAGGTCCATAATAGCCTGTATGAGCCATTGGCGGTGCAAATGGTGGACGAAATCCACTTGGAGGATAGAAATAAGGCATGTGAGGTTGTGGCATGTAATTTGGCATTTGTGGTACCTGAAAAAAATGGACAGTGCATATGAAAATTAATGTAAATTGAGAGCACAATAAAAAAACGTATTTTTAATTAAACTCACTGGAACAATTATGATTTGTGGTTGATGTGCAGGTTCCCGAGCGCGTTCTCTAGCTGGCGGTTCACGCATTACTTCTTGAGTTGGTTCTCGCATGGTGGGTACATCTACTGGCCGATTTGCTTGAGCAATCTTCTTTTTGTTTTTTCTTACTTCTTTTCGTCTCATCTTTCTTTCAGCCTCATTCTTCTTCTTTTCTTTATATTTTAGATATCGCCTATGCAGCTTTTCCGATCGTGGTTGATCTTTACCATTTTCATCGGTCCTCTCACGCCGAGTTTCATGCTCATTTTCTACTTTAATATTTTCTCGAGCAATCATGCGTTCCGCTCTTTTGGTGCTGCCATCTCTGCCATTTTCCTTCCTCTTTCTCTGATCACTTGCACGTCTTCTTACTCGATCTTTTTCACGTAATTTATCTCGTCCATTTTCACGTTTGACTTCTGGAACATTTTCGCGTTTGATTTGAACCGTTTCTCCTTTAGATCCACTAGTGTGGTCGATTTTCTCGATTCTCTCCCTTCTCTCTTGTTCTCTGGCTGGATCGAGAAAATATGGTTTATTCCGGTTTCCGTCAGCCTAGAATTTTAGAATTTATTAAAATCTGTATGTTTAGATTCGTAATTCAAAAACTGTAACTTAATGCAAGAAAGAAGAAAATTTACCGTTGATGATGATGACGATGTCGCCGATGATGAAGTTGATGATGATCTGGCCCTTTTGCGGTAGTTTGGAAGTTTTCTGGTTTGATTTTGTTGAGACGTTGATCTTGGTGCGGTTGATGTTGATGGTTGTGGTTCTCTTAATCGACCCCGACCTGTATTTCATTTAAATAAAAACCGATTTTTTTGTTAGATTTCACATTTAAATAAAGATATTATCCCTTTGGCGTAACTTGACCTAAATCCTAATAAATTCACTTGAAATTCGTACTCAATAATAATTCTTCCAATTTATCGAATTCAGTGTAAATTATCGTGTTAAAAACACATTTATTAAACATATACACTTAGTCAATCACATGGATAATATGGTTCGTTTGACTAAATTTTTTTAGTTAAAAATTCTAGTCTATGTTCGACAGATGTCTTGTGCGTGCGTAGCCTAATTAAATTACCTACACCACTTTCCTGTGATTAACCGCTTTCTAAAAAAATGAATGAAGGAGATTTTGTTATTAGTTTTCAGTTTCTGGAAGAATAACGAAGATCTATCTAACATTTCTATTCTATGCTATCAAACTCTTGGAAACTTTTGATGGTTTCACCAAACAGAGCGAATAAATTGATTGCAGATATTATTTCGTTGTTTGAAGAATGATGATGAATTTGAGGGCAGTAACGATATCCATTCACTTTCTTTATATGTTTAGTGAGGCCCAAATATTTCTCATTGTTTGCACAATGTAGCCAAAAACGATCGATTTTATTTTGGAGCTATAAAGATATTTCATTGATAGCAAATACCAAATTAATACGAATCCATCCGCAAAGCATCTAAAACAGCATAAAAAAACAAACAAAACCAATTTTTTTTTTAAACTAAGAGACTTTTATATGAAACTATGCAAATTCTGCCATTTTTACAAATGGGCACAGTTTCTGAGCAGGTGGGGTCGGATTATCCACCACCGTCAGAAGCTATGCAAATAGTCTTTTGAATTACAGAAAATTTCAATTATAATTAGGTCAAACCTTTGAATGTGTCCATTTTCCTGGTGATTTGATCGCCAAACGTTGATACAGTTGATTGAAGAACGTTGATATCGTTGTTTGTAGTTGAATTTTGGCTTGTATCAACATTGCAATTGCATAAATATTACATGTTATTTAATCAGACACTTTCAATTTATATCTTTTTTTTGTAAAGACGCGATTTCAAAATAAAATAAATTAAGCACATCTTTGTAAAGTAAAATATTGTTCAATTAATGAAATGACAGTACGAACGCAAAGCCATATCAACACCTTATTTTTGTGAGGACAAAGGATTTTATGATAAAATTTAAGTGTCTAATCGAGAGTTTTTCTCTACTGTCCTGAGTTTTTATTGACTCATAGAGTCGAATGGACTATTACCATTTTACCTATTTCTTTTAAAAAAATGATTTAAAATCAAATCCAAAAAAATGTAGTTTTCAATGTTTCGTCTCATTTTTTTTTCACATCGAGTGAATATAACCTGTATCAGCTCGGATTGTTCCAAGTGTCATAAAACGTATAACAAAAATATTGTTTCTAAAATTAATAAATGTGATCAATCTACACCTCAAATATTTACTGAAATTGTTGGATTGTTTTGTAGATATACATTCGTGATCGTACTGTACAATAAAATAGATGCGTAAAAAACAATTTCATATGCCAGTGAATTTTCCCATTCATTGTGTTTTCAAACTGAATTGAAATGTGTCCAAAATACCAGAAACATTTATGCATTTACAAGTAAGCCATTTGCTTGATTCAGGATAACCGCATAATAAAAAGACAATCATACCAATAGCAGCATCTAATTCTAGTTGTTCACGCCCAGGATGAAGTTGCAGCTCATCAGGATCTGGTGATAAGTTGGACCGACGATATGATTTCGGCACAAATTTTTTGTTGCTATACATTTAAGCGGACACGAAAAATCAACATATAAAATGCATTTAAAATAATTTTCCAAAATATCGCTTTTTTATACACATTTTTACTTGAACACTTTTTACTTACTTCGATGGGCCCTGCCTATCCATTATATTTCTTTCTTCAAAATCTCCGTTCACTTCAAGCACGAATAAAATTGAAAATGTTGAAAAATAAAAATTTATTTACAAATTGAAGTAATATTTTGTATTTTTATTACATTTGAAGGAATATCTGTGACTTCAATGAAATGTTGCGTCTGAAAATATACGTAATTAACACTGCGTGCTTTAGTTTGCCGAACTGTCACGGTTGCTGTGTATGTGTGAGTATGTTTACTGTCGCGAATAGGCACACGTGTTGTACACTCATCTCACTATTTGCAACGCAACATATGTGTGTGTTTATGTGTGCGTGCAGTAATGCATAGCATACATACGAACGTACGAGGTATAGGCAAACAGCACAATCAACAATTTAAGCAGTGGTTTGCACTTTGGATGTCTATTTTCAAGCATTGGAACGTTGGCAGTAGCTTCAATGCATAATTTTTGAAGTGTGAATGTGCTTTAATGTTGGCACTTTTATTTTACCAAAAATTGAATAAAATACCAAAGCGAAGAGCCAGTTGCAGTGCATTACGCTGATATGTCATTATGACCTTTGACAGTGTTTAAACGAAAATAATTTTAAAGAGCTACCTGAATTAGTTATTTTCTATTTACAATAAACAAATAGCATTCTTTCAAGAATGTTAAAAAGACAAAAAATGGGATAGATTTTTCGAATTGAAAGATACTTTTATTGAAGATTTGATGAAATAAATCATTCTTTAATTGACCGAATAAAACAAGAAATTTTACATTTTTTAAAAATAATACAATATATGTTTGTGGCATACCTATGTTTAACTGATTCTTTCAAACGCATGCATATTCATTTGGCTACAATTATATCAATGGGAAGGATTTTGTTTTGTCTTCCCAACAAACAATCAAAGAAAAAACATTAACAAAATAATTATTTGTAACAATTCCGAATTTGAATACGTAAATAAATTAATATTCAAGAAAATCCAGATTTATAGAGAGAATTTAACACAGTTTAAATCACCAATATCGAATTATTAATTTAAAATTATTTGACGGAATTCAATTGAAAGATACCCGATCCACATTCTTTACAACAAAAAAATAAACCATAAGATTAGATGGAAATGGTGCTTAGTATGGGATTTGATTTTGATAATACTGAATCATATCGTAAGTGCGAGTTCGGAAATTTTGGTATGAATTTCGAATGATGGCCAGCATATGTGCGGATGCTTCTTTGTTATTTTTCGATGGTGCAAAACGTTGTTTAAGCAATGTTATTGTTTGACCACGGAAGCACGGTAGACCGGTATCAAGCATCAACGATACCAGCGAAACGATTGCATCCTGATATGGTCGAATCGCAAGAAACGCTTGAACGCATAATTCACAAAACCATTTGAATGCTGGCGCTTCCATTTTTCCACCCATAATCATTACCATTTCATCGGTCAATTTCATGTCAGTTTCGAAGCCAATATTACCGCCGGGTGACGATTCAAACATAAATCCAAAATCAATGTGAATTATATGTCCTTCGGTGTCAATCATAATGTTGCCATTGTGACGATCTTTGATTTGTAGCAAATAACCAATAACTGAATAGGCGGCCATCGATTTAACAAAATTACTGCGAGCCAATTGGAATTCTTTCGAAGTTTCATCGCCTTAAAAAAAATCACAAAATCAAAATCGTTTTAATTAAATGTTTACGGTTTTGTTTATCTTATGTTTAATGAGAATTTATCACAGTAACTTACCGTATGTATGCAAAAAATACTCATACAAACCAGTATCGGTTTGACGTCCAAGTTGATCACGTGATTTTGCATTTGGAACACATTCAATTACACCACACTGGAAAGTACATCGAATACATTTTATATAAGTAAATAATTTCTCAAAGAGCTTCAACTATTTGCACAGTTAAAATACTTACTCCGGGTGCTGTGGCAACTACACGATATGGAAACAAATACAAATCTAATCCGACTTGTTGAAAGATATTCTGGAAAATTTTAATAACTTGCAATGCGAGCATGTCTTGTCGAACGTCATCGCCTACTTTAAAAATAGCTGCCTGCCACGAATCAATGCCCAGCGTTATACTAGGCTGCATAACAGTCGATGAATCTTGATTCGATACATCCATCGCCATTTGTTCAAGCTCTGTTATTCCGCATCGTTGCACACGGAATCGTGCCAAATATGGCGCTTTCGCCGCACTCTGCATCGGCGTTCCACTATTATAGTCAATGTCGATGACCATTGCTTCAGGATTCGATGGTAAATAACAACCTGGTTGAACTTTAATTTTGCTTAAAGCCTCCAAACATGCTTTCTTTCGTGGTGCTCCCTTGGCAAAGGAACGAATTTCACCGGAAACAGCTGTTATTTTACCAAAGAAATCAAATTCACGCTCATAGAATCGCTTAGCAGCACCAGAGAATGATGATATAATATTTTGACTTAACGCTTCCAAATGATCGAACAAAACAGCTAGAAAAATACACAGATGTATTAACCAATATGTCCATTGGAATTGTTTTTTTTTCCATTAACTTACGATCTTTGTGCTGTTGATCTTCGTCCATGTACATGTTTGTTTGCATATTCCAAATTAGTTGATGACCCACGATTTGTGATCGTTTCGAAATGTGCTTGATGAATTCAGCCACATAACCCATCTACGAATTTGAATGATAGCTTATTTAATTTTTGCCTGGAATTCTAAGAAAAATTGATTTACGAACCGTATCATGTCGCAGTGCTTGTACAAGTTGTGGAATGTATGGTAAAACTGCTTCGGCCGGATATGATGAAAGTGTCTTAACAGCATATTGAGCTGTTAACGGATGTGTTGGGTATTGTCGCGAGAAATATGAAAGTGCTTGAATCGGATTCACCGATGACCATGTCAACATGTACACAAGCTGAAAATAAAATTCAATTTATTTTATCCATTCATTCCATTTACCTTCCGTTGTGCATCACAACTTACCTCATGAGATTCAGCCAATAGTGTTTTTGTTGTAACTAGATATTTCAATGCTTCAGGTATATGAGAAACAGCAATTGGATCGGAGCAAACCAAACGTGTTACTTCGTCTTCGATTGATTCGGCATTTCGAATTCGTTGTGGCAAGAAAATGGCAAGCGATGGATTATAGAACCATGCCAATCGTGTATAGTCACGCCACAAACTCAATTTAATTGGTCGAGCGCGCCATTCATTTATCGCTTCTTCCCCCAAAATTGTAAGATGGGGTGACGAATTTGGGTTATACCATGTAATCAGGAATTCAATTTCAGCGGCCTGTCACAAATGTAGAAAGTGTTAAAAAGTACAATTTTTTCAATTTCAGAATGAAAATGAAGTGTGTTCTTACCAATAGTTCCAGAATTAAATTACGTTTTTTCATATAATCCCTGTCATAAGCTGTCTTTTGGAATGGTGACCGCTTTGATCGAATCGATCGTTTCGATAGTGTTGACGTTGAATGTGGAATAGTGTTATACCAGCCGCCAGTTCCGGTACTTGTGCTTCGTGCCACATCACTGCCGGCATTTGAAAGTGTGTCCAATGACAATTTGGTAACGGATAAAGTGTGCGAATTTGGATTAATATCATAATCGCCCACTTCCGTTGTGATCAAATGCTTTTTCTCGCTACGCATTGTTTGCCAAAATTTCAGCAAAATAGTTATGTCTTCGAGCAAATCGTCACGCGATTGTGACGGACAAAGTTGTGGACCGCAAAAATATTCTAAAGCATGGCTATAAATTCGTTCGCGTAGAATATTTCGCGATAATGCTTTGGGTAATATATTGCCTTGTAACAATGATAAACCACATTGAAGTAGCTTAAAACGACAACCGACCGTTCCAACACTTCGGTTTTGTTTATTATTTACATCCATCGGTAAACAACGATGTAGCAATAATGCGAACATTTCGACTTTGTCATGGTCACAGTATTTAGCTGTATCAACAATTTCTGAAATCAATTGGAGCCAAATTGCATGTGGTTTTACATTGATGGGTGGCGGTACCAATGCACAACCTTCATGCGCTGCCAATGGACTTGTCAAATCGAAATTTTCCGCGAAAAGGCCGATTTTCTTTTGAAATGTCGTTTCGAATGCATTAACCATCTCAATCATAAAAGATAGTTCCAGATCTGGACGTGCCGTTAACACCCATTGCCAACATTCAACTGCCGTCTCCATGGCCGCTTCAGTGAATAATTCCACCTGAGATGTAGCTATTCGCAAATAACAAAACATTTATGAGATCTCTTGCAGAGAGAGAAAAAGACACAAGTTTACTTACATATTGCATGCAATAGTTTTCGATTGACACCCGAATTTGTGATCAAATATGCAGTTGAAATCCAAAGTGCTTCGCGATATTTATTATTACTTTTCTCTTGACAAGCATCCCACACTTCTTTTACCAATTGATCACCCAGAAGTGCCTTGTCATCTTTCAATGATTTGGTTCTACCAGAAACTTCTCCGGCGTATTGTGAACGTAAGCACAACACCGACACAAATCGCGGAGTGTCGCTGTTAATACATTGCGGTCGCTTTGCAGCAACTGGAAGCAAAGCCGATGCAAGTGGAGGAGCACACGATTGAAGAGCCGCATCAAATGCCATGGCCAGGCCACTATGATGGATTAACGAGGATGTTGGATCAACCTGATTCCGATACTCTTGCAAGTGAGATTTTGTTGATTTTGGTGCCCATTTCATTGCTTCACTTATGATGCCTTGGCATCGATCCGAAAAGTCTTTTAAACGACTCTATTTCGAAGAAGAAAATTCAAATCAATTTCACTCTTAATACGCACATCTAGTATTTCACATTAAAATTACCTCTCGAGCTGGCAAACTGTCCATTAATTGCAACGTATACGATGTCGAACGAACTTTTAGTGTTGTTGTCTCTTCATTTGGATCACGGGTCAATGAATCGGCGAGCAATTGTAGCACATCCAACATGCACCAAAGAACTTTACGGTTCCACAACAAATGCGGAAACTTATCGACCAACTGCGATAGATACTGATCTGCAACCACTTGAATCTGTTTGTGAATGTGATTGAAATATACAAGCAATAGCATCGCTTGCGATTCTAATACGTTATCGCGGAGCTGCTCTTGTGATATCAACACATTACGGAATTTCTCAAAAACTTGATCTGCAACACTGAAATTCAAAAAAACTCTTAAGTATTTGGCTTTCTATCGCAAATTCTCTGTACAAAAAAATTGAACTCTTCTCACCATTTGATGCATGACCACATTCCCGATTTATCTTTCTGCAGTGGAATATCACACAGGTAACTTAAAATTGGTTCCAAACTTGGTTCGTCTGCGTTTTCGACTCTGAAAATTTTGCAATATTGTTTTTCAATACAGTTAAGTGCATTTCTTCTTAAAAAAAACTCACCTCAATGTTTCGAGCCAATAAACGCTCAGTAGGTAGGTGCATTGAGCAAAAGTGAATTTGTTTATGCAAGCTACAACTTCGGCCGGTGGATGATCAAAGAGTACCATTATTTGATTTCGTAGTTCATTCAAGCTAACGCTATCCGATTTAACGGCAGATGTGTAGTTCAATTCCCTCATTTCGGATCGATGGGCCGTCTGTGAGATTAATAGCGGTGATTTTGCGGCAATCTGTTGCACGCCTTGATACCATTCGGATGGCCATAGTCGCGAATTCGTGAATCCCATGACAATACAGTACAGCCAAAAATCTTTGAATAGCTTGTGCAATCGAATTTTCGGATTTTTAATCGGTGGCAATCGTTTAACCAATATCGAAATAACTGGAATCAGCATTCCCAAATTTCCAGCGCTCGAACTCGCTTTTTGAGTAGTTACATTATCGTTATACGATCGTTCGCCTTCCAAACCGATTTGAACAAATAGTTCAAGAAGTTTGCCCAACAAATCCAACATTTCCGCTTCACCTTGAATATTCGCCGCAATGTTACCCAGTGCATTTATAACGGCATCCGACACATTCTGATTTTGTTTTCGTTCCTCGACATTTGTTGAATACGCTTGCGATGTCGCCTTTACGGTTTCACGTGCAAACATTTTCATAATTTCGTCAAACACTTTCGGCTCACATCTGCTGATTATAACGCAACCCAATTGATCGACAATCAATGCTGTTTGATCTGACGTATTTTTATTGAAACGTTGAATGAAAAATTGTAAAATATTTTGCGTTGTTTTTGGTGTATTTTTTAATGCAACGGCAACATGGCCCAGCATCACGATAATATTTAGTGATACAAGACTTGATTTACTGGAAAAATGGAGACATTTATTTAATATATTTTTGTTTGATTTTCGCACGGCCGAAAAATTTGAGGAACTTTCTTACTTTTCTGTCTTTTCAGCTGTAAACAATCGACTAGAGACGCTGGCCACAAGTGCCGGTACACAATATGGATCGAGTCGATGAGCGGCATGTAGTGCGATGGCTAAATTTTCAATGGCAGCATCTCGTAATGCTTCAAAAGCAGTTTGGGCTGATTTTGTAATGCCAACCGGTTTCAATGGTACGTCAATTGCACGGAAATCATTACCTTGCACTGAAAAATTGTACCAAACAAATTTTCATTAATTGGACTTCTGTTGGAGTTTTGCATTCCACTTACCGACTATCTTAAATTGTTCCTTCTCTTTCTTTATCTGTGCTTGGCGGTATAATTTCTCCAATATTGGACTTGGCGCGACCAAAAAGTCTTTCAAATACGTAATCGATGTTCCGGCGATATTTGGAAATTTTTCAGCCAATTTCCCAAGACCCTGTATGTATACACGATTTTTTCGCTTAGTAATAGTTATAAAATTTAATTAAAAAATGTGATTATTCAATACCTCCAAACAAACCATGAGTAATGGCATGTGATCCATAACAATATTTTGACCCACCAATAGACTGAGTTTTTGATTCAAGCGTCCGCACAATTTATCGCCCTCTGAAAACCAATTTATAATTAGCCAACTATTTATTCACTTAATAATAAACAATTCTTCAAGCAACGATCAATTAATTCGAAATCAATTCAGACATTTTAGTGTGGTACAAGTGTAGAAAATAATTTCATGAAAATGCAGGGTCAAACCAGAAACAAATGAATTTAAAAGAAAGTTAAACGAAAAACAACATTTTCTTTTCACAATGTTTCACCTAATTTACATAAATAGATTAAACCATGTTGCAACGAAGAATTATTATAGTCTTCATCGGCTGTAAGATATTAACGATATTTTTTTTAAAAAAAGAGACTAAATCGAGATAAAAAAAAGTTCGAAAAAAGTGAATTTACGTAAATCGAATGCCTAGTGAATGGCCTTACCAGTTTCATCGTTGATGGCCCAAACTAATAAATCGACACATGCTGCATTGGCCATGACATTGATTTTGTATTTATTGATTGCTGTGCATCCAGGTTCTCGTTGCTCTTTCTCCTGATCGTTTTGCTTCTTTTGTAGCTCCGTTTGTCCGCTGAGAAACAGATTCTTCACAAATTCTTGCACATCTTTTGTGAATGGCGTTGGCAAATCTATTTGGAACCGCCATAAATTTCCAATTTAAATTGACTTTGTATTGATAAAAAGTGTACAATTTTTTACTTACCACTTTCATTTTGTAGTACTTCTCGCAACAATGTGACCATCACCAGATTGATTGTTTCGGAAAAGCTTTTGTATGGATACGATTTAATTTGATGCAATGAGTAAATATCGCTGGCTTGCTCATCGAGATACTCGAGTGTTTCTTTGGTGAGTAATTTTTTGGCAATTGCAAAAATACTTTGCAAAAATTGAATTTTAAATTTTATTTTCAGCTTTTTTTCGGGCGTCTCAACGAATCGCATATTCGGAAATTGATTAAAACTGGATCCATATTTTGAGAAAAAGTATGTCGTCGGATCATACGGTATCGAATAACATGATTGCAACTTTGGCGGTCGATTTGCTGAATCGGTGTCATCACTCATTGAATCGTCAAGAGCTTCACAACTTATACCGCCCGACAATGATCGCGGTATGATGGAACGAAATTGTGATAAGCTTGGATGACGTTCGTATGATGTCTGAATATTGTTACTATTACTGGTGGCGCTTGATGTGGCTGATGATGGTGATTTTGTGGCAGATGGAACTGTTATCGGTGGGAATATTCGGCATAGAAGTGGTGAATTATGAGCATATCTGCCCATCGAACGTCCTAGACCAAGCAAAATTGGGACAGTTGCTTTACACAAATTTATCGGTGGCAATGCATTGCTTTTGTGACTCGACTTTATCATCGTTGTTAATGTGTCGAGTGTATTTACTTGATTTTCGATAATTGTGTCACGCAAATGCGGACAATTGACAGCCACATCAGAGAGCAATGTATTCAAACAGAAACTAAATCGTTCCGATGCTGGAATACCTGTCAATTAAAAATGAATCATTATTTTTCTTATTTTTTCAATAAAAAAGCGAAATAAATCAGCTTACGTTCGGTCTTCTTTGGTTTGCCATCGTCAATCCAAACGGCTCTTGGTAACGCTTTATTCAATCGAAGTAAGTATGGCACAATTTTCGTTTCATGTTGACATCCACTTTCAAGAAAATACAATCCAAGTGCAATGACAGCCTCTTGGGCTCGATGATCCAAACAAAATACACCAGCTGCATTTTCTTGCGGACAATAGCGATACAATGACAAAACCTATGCAAACAAAAATGTTACGTTAATTACTTTTTGGATAAAATGAATCATCATTTTTTTTTGGCGTGAAATCGATTTTATCGATTTGCCAAATTGAAGGCCGTTCGCAAATGATAAGAGATACACTCACTTTTTCCCATGGTGTTGGTTTAATTTGTGCTAATACGCGCGCCAAACTACGCACCGTATTGTCGAAATAAAACTTATTATTTATCGTCATTTTACTGCATGTTTGCACAAAACAACAATTCGAATTGTTTATATATTTATTTCGATTATATTTGATTCGTTTGTAAGCCAATTTTTCGCACCTTACACGTCAATATTATGACATATATGTGTTTTCTCATCTATTTTTTACCTAATTTGATGGTTGACAGTTCCGATTGACGTTTCATCATATATTTTTTTATCTTTTTAAGGTTGTCTGAATTTGTTTGTTTGACGACCGCTAAACGTATGAAAACATCTACATAACCTAAAAAAAACGAATAGCGTGGTAAACGAATTTTCGATTGAAAATTCGAAATGGCAGAGAAAAGAGTGACCAGATCTTCAAGTAAACAACAAAGTGATGAAAGTGAAGTGGCGAAAAAGACAAAAGGAACACCAACCGTAGCACAGATCAAATCAGACAAATTGACATTGTTGGCAAATCAATATTGGTCACCTACTGAAAGTGGGAAGCATTCGCCATTCAATCCAGACATTATTGTTGAAATCTATCGAACGGAAATAATTGGCGCATCGGCTCGCTTGCGAAATATCATTTTGTTGGAATTCAGTCAGTATTTGGAGAATTATTTGTGGCCAAATTTTGATGCAGCAACCAGTTCCATTGAACATGTCCTATCAATTGTGTTTATGTGCAATGAAAAATTCCGTGAACGTGTCGATGCATGGAATTCATTTGAAAAAAATCCCGCACAATTTTCGGGCTTCTTTCAAAAAGTCTTGAATTATTGTTTGTCCGATGAAAAATTTACACCGATTGTGGCAAAACAACAAACCGCTTTGATTCTATTTTTGAATCACTGTTTCAACAGCATGGAAGTTGAATTGTGTCGCAATCAAACGAAAAAATTGGTATCACTTGGGATGTGGCAATGTTTGCAGCCAAATCGCCGTGAAGCCGAATTGGCCAGCACACCGCAATGGAAGAAATTTTGGAAAAAGTTACAAAAAAAAGACAAACCCGAACAAAAGGAACAATTGGAATTTGAGCGATTTTTCTTGCAACGTTTAATGGTGAAATTCATTCGAATTTTGGAGGAAATTCCAGAAGATGGACAAATCTCAATCGATACGGTTCGGTATTGTGAGCGGTTTTTGGAGTTCATAATTGATTTGGAGGCTTTATTGCCAACAAGACGGTTTTTCAATACTGTTCTGGACGATTGCCATTTAGTGGTTCGTTGTGCATTGGCACCGTTGGTGCGTCGACCAGAGGGACAACTTTTCTTGCAACTGCTTGACACATTAAAATTCTATTCACGCTTCGAAATTAATGATGAAAGCGGTGATGCTTTAACCGATCATGATATGACACAAATTCATTACAAGAAAATCATTGCATTGCAACGTGCAGCATTTTCAAAATTTGAAAAATTGAAATTGTTTGCATTAACAAATGTGGCGGCGGTTGATACTCGCGAAAAGCTAAAATCACATTTTGATACATTGGATGAAGATAGTCTCAAGTTGATTGCACGATCACTGTACCTACTTCCGAATGAAAACGATTCAGCAAATTTTACCTGGCATCGCACTGATGTTGAATTTTTACGCGAACTCTTGATCTCGCGCCACGAACGACGTGTCTCTCAATTAGACGCATTGAACGATATGCCACTCTATCCAACCGGTGAGTTTTTTAAAATATGTTTTTGTTTCACTTCTTTGCAGTATTCACTATTACATTTCTAATATTGTATCATTATGTCTTCGACAGAAAATATAATATGGGACGAGAATATAGTGCCGAATGAATATTACTCTGGCGAAGGATGTTTGTCGTTGCCAAAGTTAAATCTTCAGTTTTTAACATTGCATGATTATTTGTTGCGAAACTGTAATTTATTCCGATTAGAATCGACATTCGAAATTCGTCAAGACATCGAAGATGCGGTCAGTCGAATGGTGCCATGGAAAGACGAAGAGGGTGAAGTAATGTTTGCCGGATGGGCTCGAATGGTATGTTTCACCGACCAATTTCAACTCGGTTAGAAAAATTGTTAAATTAATTTCTGTCAATGCAGGCCCTTCCCATATCATCATTTGCCGTTGTTGAAGTGGCAAAACCGCATATTGGTGAAAAGAAACCATCACGAGTTCGAGCTGATGTCTCTGTCACGCTAAGCGTCCGTCCGGAAATCCAAGAGGAATGGGAAAATTTGCGTAAACATGATGTTTGTTTTTTGGTTTGTGTGCAGCCAACATGTCCGATTGGAACGAAATACAGTTATCGTGAACCATTTATACCACAAGTGGGTCTCGTAAGTGTTCGTGGTTGTGAAATCGAAGGAATGTTAGACGCCAATGGTCGGGTGATTGAAGACGGTCCGGATCCACGACCGCAATTGCCTGGCGAAAAGCGAACGTATCGAGTTTGGTTAGACTGCAATCAATATCGAATCGATATGGATAATTTACAGGAAAGCGGAATTGATGTTTATGAATCGTTCAACATTATTATTCGTCGTAAACCGAAAGAAAATAATTTCAAAGCTGTTCTTGAAACGATTCGCCATTTAATGAATACTGTATGCGTTGTCCCAGAATGGCTACACGATATTTTACTCGGCTATGGTGATCCATCGGCTGCTCACTACAAACGAATGCAATTCCAAGAGAAAACACTCAATTTTAACGATACATTTTTGAACATTAACCATTTGCGCGAAAGTTTTCCAGATTACAAAGTCGAGGTGAAGGGTGACGAGAAAGAACTGTCACTACCGATGCTTCTGTCATTCGAAGATGTAAAGGAATCGAAGGAAGATGACGAGGACGACGATGATGAGTGTATGGAATTGCCGAAAATCATTAAAGTAGAACAAGGGCCATTGCCAAGATGTGGCCCATATCCATTTGATGAACCGAAAAAGAATGCCATCAAATTTACACCAACACAAATCGAAGCGATTCGATCCGGAATGCAGCATGGTTTAACGCTGGTTGTTGGTCCTCCAGGTACTTTCATCTCTATTTTCGTTGCAATAAATACAATCTTAACTGATTGATGTTCAATTATAGGTACTGGTAAAACTGATGTTGCCGTTCAAATCATCTCGAATCTTTATCATAATCATCCGAATCAACGAACATTGATTGTCACACATTCCAATCAGGCATTGAATCAATTGTTTGAGAAAATCATGGCACTTGACATCGATGAACGGCACTTATTGCGTCTAGGTCATGGCGAGGAAGCACTTGAAACTGAAAAAGATTTCAGTCGATATGGTCGTGTTAACTATGTGCTTGCCAAACGTATTGATTTACTAAATCAAGTGCAAAAGTTGCAAGAATCACTTGGCGTCACTGGCGATGTAGCGTATACATGTGAAACAGCAGGTAATAATGACATTGGATATATTTTTTTTTATTACAAAATATTATATTCTTTTTATTATATTTTTTATAGGATACTTTTATCTGTATCAAGTGATTTCACGATGGGAGAAATTCTTAAGCGAAATTGAGCAATTTAATGGGGAAAATTACACGCCAACCATTTTCAGTGAACAATTTCCATTCACACGTTTCTTCAATGATGCACCACAACCATTATTCCCTGGTCAAACGTATGTGAATGACTTGGAAGTGGCAAAGGGATGCTTCGAATATATTTCAAAGATTTTCACACAATTGGAAGAATTCAGAGCTTTTGAATTGCTGCGCAGTGGATTAGATCGTTCAAAATACTTGCTGGTAAAGGAAGCTCGTATCATTGCGATGACCTGTACACATGCTGCACTGAAGCGTAAAGAATTGGTTAACATGGGATTCAAATATGATAACATCTTAATGGAAGAATCAGCACAAATTCTCGAAATTGAAACGTTCATTCCGTTGCTGCTGCAAAATCCATTGGACGGACATAATCGACTTAAACGATGGATCATGATTGGAGGTAACACTAAAAAAAACAGTAAACCATAAAATAAAACGGATTTTAATCGGAGATTTTTCTTTTAGATCACCATCAATTGCCTCCCGTTATCAAAAATATCGCATTTCAAAAATATTCAAACATGGAACAATCGCTATTCACACGACTGGTTCGCTTGGGCGTGCCCACCGTTGATTTGGATAGTCAAGGTCGTGCTCGATCAACTATCTCAGCATTATACAAATGGCGTTACAAGAAACTCGACGATTTACAGCATGTTTTGGATAAAGTTGAATACAATTTGGCAAATCCTGGCTTTGAATTCGACTACCAAATGATCAATGTCGAAGATTTCAATGGTGTCGGAGAGACCGAACCGAATTTATTTTTCTATCAAAATTTAGCCGAAGCCGAATATGTGGTTGCCGTTTTTATGTATATGCGTTTATTGGGCTATCCAGCTGAAAAAATTTCCATTTTAACAACATACAATGGGCAAAAGCATTTGATTCGTGATGTGATTAACATGAGATGCGGTGATAATCCGCTGATTGGACGTCCATTGAAAGTGACCACAGTTGATAAGTATCAAGGTCAACAAAATGATTACATTTTACTATCGCTGGTTCGAACCAGAGCTGTTGGTCATTTGCGCGATGTTCGACGTTTGGTCGTTGCAATGAGTCGTTCACGACTTGGATTGTATATTTTCGGAAGAGTTGCATTGTTCAAGGATTGCTTTGAATTGCAACCTGTTTTCAATATTCTACAGAAACGACCGAATAAATTGCATTTACTGCCCGAAGAAATGTTCCCCGGAGAGCGAAAACTTACCGACAAGATTGCAGCCGAACCAAAAATCATTGAAAATATGAGCGAAATGGCTGATTTTGTATACAAATTATACTTGAAACGCATCAGCGATATGAAAGAAAATATGGAATCAATTCAGAAACTGTATGAAAAACTACCCACAGAAGATGATGTCAATGAAAACGAAGTGGATGACGATGATAAGGATGAAAATAAAACGGAACCTATGGAAACGGAGACATTTGTTCAAACAGAAATTCAAAATGAGGTCGACGATGTCGACGTATCGCCTTCTTCATCCGGCTCCGCATATTCAGCTGAACTTGCAAGTTAATTCCCTGAAATTGAATAAATAATAGTTATTAGTTTGAATTATTTGATCATAGGCCTCTAACATGCCGTTGGATATTTTATCACACCTGCCAGAGCAATTTGAAATGAAGTTTAAAATTCAACACCCCCGTTTATCATGGTTGAGTGACGAAAAGGGAAATGAATTACTTAACGAATTAACCTGTAAAAAAAAAAGAAAAAATCCTTCATCATTTGAAAACTGGCAATGAAAATCCAGACATTTTTTCCTCGATAATAGAAGAAATTTCTGGTCATCTGAGATTTGATCCCAAATTGGAAGATTTCATCACAATAATTGTAGAGAACAAACAAAACATACTGAACAATCCAGCACTGTTGGATGAATTAGTTGAAAAAGAGTTCTATCGGAAAAACTAACTACTTCAAAATAAAAATACAATTGTTTTCATTTTTTCGTTTTCTTTATTTTCTGTTATTTGTAGGACTTTACTGCACACAGTGGGTGTGAAAATAACTTCATATAGAGTGTGTTTCAAAATACTCTACTACAAATGTCGTTACGATCTAACAACAAAATTTGGAAATTGAAAATTTGAAATTACGTGTGATTGTTGTTGTCTTTTCATACCATATAAAAGAAGTAAATACATTTTTTGTTCATAAAATTCAAAACACTTTAACATATGTATAGAAAGTCTTGGCACAACTTACAGCGTTTTTTACACTGCAATAACAATCACAAGAATGTCAACCAAAGATTTCTGGTCAGATCTCAAACGTAAAGTGTACGAGAAGGGCTGAGAAACTCAAAACGAGCAACAATTAGTTGGAAGGATTAAGAGAAAATTGAAAGAAATTGACAAATCGGTCTGCCAACGCATGATTTTGAAGGTTCGATACAAACTTCGACAAATCGAAGACAAAGGTCCATTAAGTGTGATGTGAATGTGCTATTCGATAGTTGATGAATAAAGGTTTCTACCAATAAGAACGAATTTAATATTGTTTTTTTGTTGTTCAAATAGTGGACGTCTGAAGTTGTGCCAAGACTTTCTATGCATATGTTATTCTATAAGTATATAGATTATTTATGAATCTAAAATCAAAATAAAAACTAAATTCGGATAAGTTTTTCTTAAATTAATCATTAGTTTTCAATATTTTTTGAATCTTTGGAATACGTCGAAATTTCGATTTCCATATCGACTTCAATGTAGATGCAATTTCTTTCATTTGAATTTGTTCCCATTCGTTTCCAAGAATTTCCTTCAAAATCAAGTGTTTTTCTTTTATATCATATTCGAAATCGATTTGTTCCAATTCAGTTAATTCGTCCAGCAGTTTTCGAATAGTTACATTATTTTTTTCTATCCAGCTTGCACTTCTCGAGAAGAATTTCAATATTTTCAATTTTTTATTACGCAATATGAAGTTCATCCAATGCATATTTACGCACATTTTTAAATGACACTTTTGGAGATTATCAAACTCATATGATTCAATTATTCGCCCACATGACCAACCATCATATGAAAATGTTTCGATTGTTTTGAATCGATAAGTTGGAATTAATTCCGGCGCATTTTGTTTGCCACGATAACACACGGTTAATTTAAAAGTTTTCAGTTGTGTTAAGTTTTCATCGATCGAAGAATATATTAAGTCATTATAATTACTTATTTGCATACATAAATGCAAATATTTGATTTGACGATTCATTTGCAAAAAAGAAATAAATGAATGAACTTCTTCATCGCTTTCAATTATCAAGGAAACTCGTTCCAATTTCAAAAAATATTTTTCCACTGATTTTGGAGCATATGATAAATTCAAAGAACGTAGATTTGGCATTAATTCCAATGCTTCCAAGTCAAAAAAAGAAGTTCTAGCGATGAATTCTTGAAGTTTTATCAATGGTTTATTCAACGTGAAAAATGGAAATGAATGCAATTCCAGTGCCTCCAATGAATCAGCACAATAATCGCAAACGTATTTGAACACATTCTTCAAGACGATTGGAATATTTGTATCAACACTGCAATGAATACAAATAAACTTAATGGATTCTCCAAAATTCCGCATTAATTTAAACCAAATTATTGCATCACTAATTCTGACGATCAGTTTGTTCTCACAATAAATTAGATTTCTGTTTTCATAGATACGACGTACATAATCAACCGGTTTATAAGGTACATAATGAAAAGCATCAAATGATATTAAATGATTTCCATGTTTTCGGGAAAATACTGAACCAGCAATATTTCTGAGTCGTTTATTTGTGTCGGATATATTTGCCAAATCTTCTAGGTTCAAATGGCACAGAATGATATCAATTACATTGTCACACATATCGTTGAATTCTGTTGGTGTTTTCTCATCGTCAGATATTTTCTTTTCCTTTGAACACAAATGAGAAATTTCATGTTGGCATTTTCGTTTCAATT